TATTTATTTGCAGGAACATCTCTTATGTTGTACCAAAGTGTGGAGGCTAGGCTTTGAAAGTAAGGAAAAAAATGTGAAACAGAAAAAGAAAACAAAAACAAAGAAAGAAATAAAAAAGAAACAAGAAATAAGCATGAGAAAAAGATTGTAGAAAGAAAAAAAATATAGATGGAAAGAAAAGAGATCCAAAGTGGATCAAAGAAAAGCAAAAGAAAGAGTTTGAATAAGCATGCTTCCTTGAGTTTGTTATTTGATTCACTTGTTTCTACTTATAGGGTTTCATTTTATCTCTATCCACTTTACTCTTGGCAATTTATTCATTCCATTCATGATCCTTATATGTCATCTACTTGGTTTAGTTTTTAGTAGTATTGTATATTATGCATACTTACTTTGTGGCCAAGACAAGTTTCTTGAGCCAAACCCTACCCTTTCTTATGCAAATCTAAGTTTACCTTTCATTGAGCACATTACATCCTTGTGAAGTCCATACGATTCTTGAGAGAACCTTTGCATTTTAGTAGTAGAAAGATAGCTTATAGTGGGATAACTTGCTAAGGAACTTGAGCAATATGTATGTAACCTTATACATTGAGTGCTAGAGTGAAACATTAATATGGTAAGGTTTCTCTTCGAGGTTACATTTGTGCAATTGGTTTACTTATGATGTATTAAGGTTTTCTTTAAATATTGCAATATTGATTTGGTTCTTGTGATAATGCATTTACTTTGAGAATTGTATTCACTCTTGATAGCTTGCATGTATATGTTGTTTTCCTTTCTCAGTTTTTGGAGAGAGTTTGCCTGGAGAGCAAAATCTAAATGTGGCAGAATTGATCTATCTCATATTTTACTTACTAAACACTTGGTTTTTGGCATCAAATTATGCATATTAGGGTTTATTTTTTGATTTTTAGTTATCTTTTACATATTGACTTTATAGACTCTAATAATGCTATTTGATGGTTGTTTTGACATTTTTAAATGCTAATTGAGACTTTTGGGCTTTAATTCTCTTACCTTCCTTTTTAATTCTCTTTTTAAGATTTATTTAGTTTAATATCTTTTATTTTCATATTTTATTCTTGAAGAAGCAAATTTCAAGCTAAGAGGCAAAGACAAGTCAACTTTATTTAAGAAGCCAAGCGCAAGAGAAGAAGGGGCTGAATGGCATTTCAAGCTTCAGAATTAATTAAGGTTGATTTGGCATTACATTTTTTGAAATGAAGAAAGGATAAGTGGTGCCTAATTAAGAAATTAATTAGGGAATTAATTAAATCAGAATTCAAGAGCATTGGAAGCATGGCAGACACATCATCATGGGCAAAAGGAGCATGGGATGCATGACTTCATCTGAATCTAAGAGGTTGTTCACATGGAATCTAATCAAGCCTTCAAATGAGTCACATTGGCCATGCCTCATTCACATGGTTCATGCTCTTCAATTCCAACACATATGACGCCATTTTCCCTCTTATTTTCAGAATTAGTTCTTCAATTTTAATTCAATTTATCCAACTGGAAATTCATCTTCAAATCTGAACTTTAGAAATATGACCATTCAACTTTAGAATGATCACCTTGATTCACATTATTTACACATACAAAAGCCAAAAATTCTGATTCCAGCCTTATTCCTCATTCCCCATTCTCTCCCATCATGTAATTCCTCTTCCATTTTCTCTCAAATTCTCTCATCTCCTTCATAAACCTCACACCATCTTTATCAAGTTTGAAGGTCCAGATCTGGTTCTTCATCTTTTCCAACTCCAAATCATGTTTTCCAGCCTCAATTATTCATCAATTCCAGCTTCCATTCCAGAATTCCAGTTCATGTTCATCATTGTTCTTCATTTCTAGGTTTGATTTCATCTATTTCTTCAATCCAGATTCATGTGTTCATCTCTGTCTTCATCATTCCAGATTTGTTCTTCATCTTTTCTCTTCCAATTCTTCATTTCATCTAACATTTCTTGTCTGTCCAGATTAATTTCTTCATTTCTCCTCCTTTATCCTTCCATATTTTGTCCAAATTCCTCATCTACTCACCATAAAATCGTCTATCATCTTCCTTAAATTCACCCCTAGAACTTCATTCCAGTAAGGTTCTTCTCAAGATTCATCATGTTCTCTCAAGCTCAAGGTCCAATTCAGTTGAAGAAGAAGAGTGATCTATCTCATATTTTACATGTTAAAACACTTGATTTTTGGCATCAAATTGTGCATATAGGGTTTAATTCCCGGTTTTGAGTTATCAATTTTAGATTAACTTTATGAACCCTGGTAGTGCTATTTGATGATTGTTTTGACACTTTCATATCCTAATTTGAGATCTTGGGCATTAATTCTCTTCTCTTCCTTTTTATTTCTTTTTGTTTAGAATTTATTTAGTCTTGTGTTTTTATTTTCAGATTTTGTGACGGTAATTTTGGAATCAAGGATCAAAGGCTAGTCCACATGCTTGGAGAAATTCAATAGATAAAAATAAATAAAGATAAAGAATTTAGGGGCTGTTAGGCGCAAATTCCAAAATTATTTGAGGGATGATGTAGCACCATTATTCAAATTTAATTGGGGAGAATTAATTAAATAAAAATCAAAGGAGCATGGGAAGCATTGAGGGACACATTATCAAGTGAAGAAGAGGCATGGGAGGTGTGACATGATCAAATCTAATGGGAGGACATGTGGCAGCTGATTGGGAGCCTAAGGAGGAGTCACATTTCCCACACATGTTCACATATCCCTTGCTGCATTTTCCACCTCATTTTTATTCCCATTTTAGCTTATTTTTGTCCATTTTTCCAGCTCATTTCAGATTTGGACCTTCCTTGTTTTTATCACCATCCACTTTGGTTTTATCACCACTCACATTTTCCACACATACTTAATCCTTCATTTTTCATTTCATATTCATTCTTCACCTTTACTTGTCAGATTTTTCCAGATTTCTCTCTCTTCTTCTTCATTCATTTTTGTCCAGCACTGTTCATTCGTTTTTCAGATTTCATTTCTTCATCTTCCATCATCAACACTTGGTCCAGATCATCATCTTCTCTATTCAGATTTTTGTCCACTTTCTTCTCCATTCCAGCTTGCATTTTCGTCCATCTCTTGTCCAGATTTTCCAAATTGCAACTTATTCATCTTCATTCATCCGTGGAAGCTTCTCAAGCTCAAGGTCTGATTCAAGTAAAGAGGAAAAGCATGAGAAGCTGATCATTTAGAGCTCCAAGAAAGATGACTTGATATTATGAGATTTCCAGATTTGTAATTGTTGTTTATTTTCTTAATTTCATGTTCTTATTTTGATTCTTTAAGGATTCAATTCTGAACCTATGTTTAGTTAAGGAATTTGTGATTCTAATTCAGATTTGATGAGAATATGAATGTTGAATTTAGATTTTTATGCTATTTTCAGTTCTGGAATTTATGATTTACCTTGATGTTCTAGGGTTATTTCATAAGTTTTTGCTGATTCTTGTTCAAGTTCTTATTTAGACTTGGGTTAGATCCATATTGGTTATATGAATTTGACTTAAACTGTTCTTCTTCCACTAGTTTTGGTCTGAAACTTGGGTAGAACAAGGCTGAATATAGTGTTAATTTCTAAATTCACTTGACCTAGATTCATTAGTGTCCATTGAGTCTAATGGTGCACCACACTTAGAGGCTTCTAAGTGTCTCATTTTAGGTTAATCAAGAAGGTTTATGATGTTATAATTCCGGAAATCAATGATTAATGTTAGGAAATCTAACTTGGGCTCACCATAATCATCATTCATTTCATTACAACTAAAACAGAATTTTACAAACATTTATTGTTGCATTATAGAGTTAGTTTAGTCACTTGAAAATTTAGATTAATTTGTGGCATTTGAACAATGATTTGTATGCTTTGCTCTCTAGGAAAATGACCTAGGATACTCACTTCTACATTCTAATAAAATTTGATAACCCAAGGCAACTTCATCAAAGAGCATGAGAGGCTAAGCTCTTAGAGATCCAAGAAGATCTGACTTGACATTATGAGATTTCCAAATTTGTAATTTTCATTTAGTTTCTTGATTTTATATTCTTTTCTTGATTCATTAAGGAATTTGAATTTAGCACTTTATTTAGCCATGGATTATATAATTCTGATTCAAATTTGATGAGGACACAAATGTTGGATTTAGATTTTAGTACTATATTCAGATCTAGGATTTATGATTTAACTTGATGTTCTAAGGTTATTTCATGAGGATACAAAGTTGATTCTTATTCAAGTTCTTGTTTAAACTTGAGTTAGATCCATATGGTTATATGAATTTGGCTTAAGTTGTTTCCTTCCACTAGTTTTGGTCTGAAACTTGTGTAGAACAAGGCTGGACATAGTGTTAAATCTAAATTCACTTGACCTAAAATTATAAGTGACCAATAAGTTTAATGGTGCACCACACTCAGAGGCTTCTAAGTGTCTTATTTTAGGTTAATTAGGAAAGTTTGTGTTAATACAATTCTGAAAATTAATGATTAATGTTAAGAAATCTGACTTAGGCTCTCCATAATCATCATTCATTTCATAACATTTAAAACAGAGACTTATACACACTAATTCTTGGATTATAGTCTTAGTTTGGTTACTTGAAAATCCAACTTAACTTGTGGCACTTGAACAATGATTTGTATGCTTTGCTCTCTAAGGAAATGATTTAAGATATTCACTTCTACATTCTAGTTGAACTTAGTGACCCAAAATGACTTAGGCTTTCACTACTACCAAAATGTTGGCACTCATGACATGCTTTGCAAAATTTATATGCATCTTTAAAAAGAGATAGCCACTATAAACTACAATCCAAAACTTTTTGACCTATTCTTCTAACCCCAAAATGACCACCACATGCATAAGTATGACATATCTTAAGCACATTGTCAAACTCAACATCGAGCACACATCTTCTAATGACACCATCACTACACAATCTTCAAAGAGTAGGTAAATCCCAAACATAATATCTACTTTCCCTAGCAAGTTTCTCCCTAGCATGTCTAGTAATTCCATTTAGATAAACATTATACACCAACAAAATGACCAAATCAAAATACTAAACAAAATCATAGGAAGAAATAGCACATAATGGTTCATCTTTAAACTCATCACAAGGAAAATTAAAAGAGGAATTCATCACAATGGAATCATAAGGCAATCTACTGAAGTAATCCGTCACATTGTTTGTTGCTTCCTTTCTATCAATGATCTCCAAATTGAACTCTTGAAGTAGAAGCATCCATCTAAGTAAATATAGCTTCATGTCATTCTTCTTTAAAAGATACTTCAAGGCTGCATAATCTATGAAACGAACAACCATGGAATGCAATAAGTAAGATCTGAATTTATCAAGAGCAAATACTAATGCATACAATTCTTTTTCAGTTGTAGTGTAATTGCATTGTGCCTTATCTAAAGTCCTAGATGCATATGCAATGACATAACGAAGCTTGTTTTTCCCTTTGTCCCAACATTTCGCCAATAGCAAAATAAGAGGCATCATATGAAATTTCAAAAGGAATCAACCAATTAGGACTTCTCAAAATAGGAGGGGAAACAAGCTTATCTTTCAAAGCAGTACATGCATCTTTACAATTTGAAGAGAACTCAAACTTGACATCTTTTTGAAGTAATTGAGATAAGGGATGTGCAATTTTTGAAAAATCTTTAATGAATTTTCTATAAAAGCCCACATGGCCAAGGAAAGATCTCAAGTCCTTGACATTAGTTGGATAGAGAAGAGATAAAACCACTTCAATTTTAGCCCTATCCACCTTAATGCCATGGTTTGAGACAAAGTGGCCCAACACAATCCCTTGCTCTACTATAAAATGGAACTTCTCAAAATTCAAAACCAAGTTCTTTTGCACACATCTAACAAGAACTTTATCAAGATTTCTCAAGCAAGATAAATAAGAATCACCATGAATTGTAAAATCATCCATGAACACTTTCATGCAATTTTCAATAAAATCACTAAAAATACCAAACATGCATCTTTGAAAGGTCGCTGGATCATTAAACAATCTAAAAGGCATTCTTCTACATGCAAAAGTGCAAAATGGGTAAGTGGAAGTGGTTTTATGTTGATCAACCGGATTAATGCAAATATGAAAATAACTACTATATCTAACAAGAAAGCAATAATGAGATTTTCCCCATAATCTTTCTAACATTTGATTAATAAATGGAAGAGGGAAATGATCTTTCTTAGTTGCATCATTCAATCTCCTATAGTCAATGCAAACTCTCCAACTATTTTGCACCTTAGTTGGAATCAATTCATCATTTTCATTATTTACAATAATAATTCCAGATTTCTTGGGCACAACTTGCACCGAAACACCCATTTACTATCACTAATAGATAGATTATACCTGCACTCAAAATTTTAGTGACCTCCTTCTTTACCACATCAAGAATTAGAGAATTCAACTTCCTTTGTGGTTGTCTTATTGCCTTGGCATTCTCCTCTAACATAATCCTATGTGTGCAAGTTTGAGGGCTAATTCTAGGCATGCCTCCAAGTGTCCACCCTATAGCCTTGATGTTCTTCTTCACTACATCACACAACAAAGATTCCTCATAGAAGTTAGTATAGAAGAAACAATAATGGGAAGTTGATTACCATCTCTTAAGTAGGAATCTTAAGATGTGAAGGAAGTGGCTTCAACTCCAACTTGGGTAGCTTAATGATGCTTGAAGGGTGATCTATCACATATTTTACATACTAAAACACTTGGTTTCTAGCATCAAGTTATGCATATTAGGGTTCTTGGCATTAAATTATGCATATTAAGGTTCTATTTCCAGTTTTGAGCTACCTTTTCTATATTGATTATATGAACCCTAGACTTGCCAATTGATGTTGATTTGTAACTCATAAATCCTAAATTAATACCTTGGGCTTTAATTCTCTTTTCTTCCTTTTTAATTCTCTTTCTAGAATTTATTTAGTCTTGTGTCTTTTATTTTCAAAATTTTATAAGGGCAAATTTGGAATCAAGGAGCAAAGACTAAGTCAACCTCATTGGAGAATTCAAAGTAAGAGAGGGCTTATGTGACATTATAATTCCAAAATTAAAGGGCTGAGTTGGCATGCCATTTTCAAAAATTAATTTGAGGAAGAATAAATAAATAAAAGCTAAAGAGCATGTGAAGCATTGAAGACACATCATGGAGGCAAAGCTAAGCATGAATGGCATGACACAATCTGAATCTTAGAGGGAGTGATGTGGCATTTGATCAAGGGCTTCATTGAGTCATATTTTCAATGCTCAAGTCACATGGTTTATGCTCCTTTGCTAGCTCATATTAGGCACCTCTTATTTTCTCAATTTTTAGATTATTTTGCTCATCTTTTAATCCATTTTTCTAGTTGGAAATTCACGTTTCGGATCTGAGCTTTGGAATTATCACCATCTAGCATTGTAATTATCACCCTCACTCACATTTCTCACACATAAGCTTCCATTTCACTTTACGGCCTCATAATTCAGATATGACTCTCTCTCTCTCTCTCTTCGTCACATTCTCTCTCAATTTCTCTCTTCTTCTTCATTCTCTCATTATTTCATCCATTCATCTTTGATCTTAAGTCCAGAATTGTTCATCCTTCACTCTTAAATCACATGTCCAGCTTCTTCATTTCTCAATCCAAATTTATTTCCTTCCTCTTCTCCTTTCCATATTTACGTTCATCATTATTCTTCATCAATTCCAGAATTTCATCCTCTTCTCTCTCACTTCCAACTCTAAATTTCATTCATTCCAGCCTTCATATTTTCAGATTCATGAAGTTTCCTTAAGCTCAATGTTTGATTCAAGTGAAGAAGAAGAGTAGAAAGGCTTAACAACTTAGAGCTCCAAGAAAGATGACTTAGCATTTTGATCAAGAACTTGTGCAATAGAGCAAGGCTGAACACAATATTTCATTTTGATTCACTTAACCTAAATCCCTAAGTTCATTAAGTTCAATGGCTTTTAAGTGTTCTATCTATTGGATAGGGAGGCGCAGCGGAGGATTAAAATTTTAAAGTCCCTATCCTAATATGGACTGAATGAACTCGTTTAAGTCAAGGTGGACAGAAGAGTTACCTTTTAATTCTTTGAAGTTAGCGCACGTTCTCTTCAAGATTTTGGATCTCAGGAGCTAACAACGTAGATCTACTCCCTCTATCAGTATTCATACAAATAGCTCTCTAACTCGAACAGCATGCTAGCGCTCTCCACGTCCGTTCTTCTTTAAACATTAATTTTCCTTTCTATAGGGTGTTTCATGGCTCTCAGAGTGTTTTTGTTGTCAGAACTTTTCTAACTCTCATCCTTCATAAAGGACATCCCTATCTAGATAAGGGTTTTCGTCTTCCACTTAAAAGCCCACAAAATTTTAATTAAATTTATCTCATAAATTTAATTCATAATATCATACCTAATTTAAATTTATCTTATAAATTTAAATTATAAAACTGACATGATATTCTCTCATATCATGTTAGTTATTAAATTTAATTTATCATATAAAATTAAATTTAAAAACTAACATAATATAATATAATATATATATCACATATACATATTATATATATATATATATATATATATGAATATATATATATATATTATCTATATTTAATTTTATATATCATATACATATATATATATATGATATATATATACATATATGAATATATATATATATATATATAATACATTCACCCTATATTACATTCATTGAATTTAAAAATATTCCAGATTCAATAAACTTGGACATTATAGCTCGAGTTGAGCTGTTCTTGTGTACGACCCTGTAGGCCCATATGAAATTGGTAGTAGGCTAATTATGCTATTAGCACACAAGTCACAAGTAGCCTCTAGCAAGACATTGTAACTACATAATTCACATAGAGATCGATGATCTGATGTAACCTATCATGCAACCATATCACATCCCTTTTGTCATATGATATTTCGATCAAGTATGAGACATGGAATTATCATTCTCCTTTACTTGACTATTACTTTCTCGATCTCTGAGTAGACTGACAGTAGCAACGGAAAAACCATTTCCATTGTAGTATGGCCATACATTTTCATAATCTTACTCATCGAAGGGCCTAGTAATATCTCTCACTTAATGTGAGGGACAAATTCCATCTTGACCACTCATATTCCTCTGCATGAATATCACTGAACTCAATTATAGCCTTTATGATCACCCGGTCAAAGGTGACTTTTGACTAGGTTAAAGTTCAGTGGTCATCTTGTAGGAATCCATGATGATCTCAGGTCAAAGGGCTTAGTGATATAGTTACATATGAGATAAGCTTATGACTTGTACCATGCAGCTTTCTCATAACGGGTCAATCCAGTACCTTATACTCTTTTAAGTGCCTATGACTTTGATTTATATCTCTATAACTAATCAAAGTCATACTAGTCTTGTTTCATCTATGATTCCTCAAGGATGGCCGACCAGGGACATTTAGGACAATCACTATAGTTTGTCCAAGGATACAGTTATCATATTGAACATGTAATTGTTATGATAACAAAAGAAAAATTCATTAAATAACAATGTGCATAGTACAATGATTGGCCCTAAAGCACAATTTCCAACATCCTCCCACTTGCACTAGGTACAATCATTAATTTGTTTAATTCCCATTGTCCTGACATGATGCTCCTGCTTCACCTATGTAAGAGGCTTTGTAAGAGGATCAGCAATATTATCTTCTCCTACTACTTTGCATATTTTTATATCACCTCTATCATTGATCTCTTTAATAAGGTGAAAATGCCTGAGTATATACTTGGTCTTTTGGTTTGACCTTGGCTCCTTACCCTATGCAATTGCCCCGCTATTGTCATAAAACAAGTTTATTGGATCTAAGATGCTAGGCACCACTCCTAGTTCAATAATAAACTTCCTGATCCAAATAGCTTCCTTAGCTGCATCTGATAATGTTATATACTCAGCTTCTGTTGTAGAATCAGCTATTGTGCTCTACTTTGAGCTCTTCCAACTCACTACCCCACCATTTAAGGTGAACATATATCTTGATTGTGATTTAAGGTCATCTTGGTCAGTTTGGAAGCTTGCATCGATGTAACCTATTACAACTAGGTCCTCATCCAATCCACCATATACCAAGAATAAATCCTTATCCTTCTTAAGTACTTTAGGATATTCTTAACAGCAATCCAATGATCCTCTCCTGGATCTTCTTGGTATTTGCTGGTCACACTTAAGGTAAATAAAACATCCGGTCGAGTGCACAGCATGGCATATATGATAGATCCAATTGCTGAGGCATATGGAACCTTACTCATGCGATCTTACTGATTTTGTGTACTAGGACACTAGCCTTTACTAAGATAAATGCCATGAGACATGGGGATGAAACCCCTCTTTGAATCCTGCATACTGAACCTATGCAGTATCTTGTCTATGTATGTGCTCTGACTTAAGCCTCTTAGCTTTTTAGATCTATCTCTATAGATCTTAATCCCAAGGATACATGTAAGTGGCTTCACCTAAGTCCTTCATAGAGAAAGATTTTCCTAACCAAAACTTGACATTCTACAAGGTAAGAATATTATTCTCAATGAGTAGGATATCATCTACACATAGCAGCAGAAATATAACTGTGCTGCCATTAACCCTTTTATAAACACAAGGTTCATCAATATTTTGAATGAATTTAAACTCTTTGATTACTTCATCAAAACATTAATTCCAGCTCCGAGATGCTTGCTTTAATCCATAAATGGATCTTTGAAGCTTGTACACCTTTCTAGAGTCTTCTGGACGCACAAAACCTTCAGGCTGTGTCATGTACACTTCCTCAAGTAGACGTCCATTAAGGAATGCTGTTTTAACATCCATCTACCATATTTCATAATCATAATATGCTGCAATGGCAAGGAGGATTCTAATTGATTTGCCATTGTGACCGGTGAAAAGGTTTCATTATAGTTTACACCATGAGTTTGGGTGAATCCTTTTGCAACCAATCGCGCCTTGAAGACATTTACTTTGCCATCCATGTCAGTTTTCTTCTTAAAAACCCACTTGTACCTGATGGTTTTTATTCCTTCAGGTGGATCGATTAAGGTCCATACCTTATTATCATACATGGATTGCATTTCAAATTTCATGACATTTAGCCATTTCTCAGAATTTAGTCCCATTATGGCTTCTTGGTAGGTGGTTGGTTCATTGTGTTTAATGAGCAACACATCACGACATTTATTAATCAAAAATCTATATCTTTGAAGATGATGCCATGTCCTATCAGACCTTCGTGGGTCTTGTGTTATTTGAGTAGGCTCATTTACTTCTTGTGAGTCTTCTCAATTTTCCATCTGTGACTCTGTGCTATTTTATGGTTCTTGAATTTCTTCAAGATGTATCTTGCTTCCACTGGTTCTTTTAGAGATAAATTCTCTTTCTAGAAAGATACCATTTCAAATTACAAACACTTTATTATTGGTGGGATTGTAGACATAGTATCCCTTTGTTTCTTTAGGATACCTCACAAAAAGGCACTTTGTGGATTTGGGTGCTAACTTGTCTGAGGCTTGTTTCTTAACATAAATCTCACTTTCCCAAATCTTAAGAAAAGACAAACCAGGTTTCTTCCCAGTCCATATCTCATATAGTGTCTTCTTAATTGCCTTAGATGGAACACGGTTCAGTGTGAACGCAGCTCTTTCTAGTGCATGGCCCTAAAAGGATATTGGAAGATCTACTTGACTTATCATGGATCAAACTATATCCAATAGTAACCGATTTCTCCACTCAGAAACACCATTCCATTGTGGTATTGCTAGAGGAGTTAATTATGAGACTATCCTACAACTCTTGAGATGATCAATAAATTCTTGGCTTAAATATTCACCTCCTCGATCAGATCGAAGAGTTTTAATAATCTTGCCAAGTTAGTTTTGTACTTCATTTTGGAATATTTTGAACATTTCAAAAGATTCAGATTTGTGTTTTATTAGGTAGATATATCCATATCTCCTATAGTCATCAATAAAGGTAATAAAGTATAGATAACCCCCTCTAGAATCTATGCTCATTGTCCACATACATCTGTATGTATGAGTCCTAGTAAGTCATTAGCCCTCACACCATGCCTAATAAAAGTTGCTTTCGTCATCTTTCCTAATAAATAAGATTCACAAGTGTCATAAGATTCAAAATCAAATGAGTTGAGAAGTCCATCTTGATGGAGCTTAGAAATGCGTTTCTCATTTATATGGCTGAGACAACAATGCCATAGGTAGGTTAGATTCAAATCATTCGATTTGATCCTTTTGGTAGTTACGTTATAGATGTCTTCATTACTAGAATGTTCCAAATTTAAAAGATAATGACCAAAATGCAAATCACCATTAGCATAAAAAATGTCATTTTGATAAATAGAACATTTATCATTCCCAGTAATGGAAGTAAAACCTTCCTTATCCAAATAAGAAAGAGAAATAATGTTGCTACTCAAAGCAGGAACATAATAGCAATTGTTCAAAACTAACAAAAGCCTATTAGGCAAAAGAAATTCATAAGTTCCTATGGCTAAAGCGGCAACTCTTGCTCTGTTTCCAACTTGTAGGTCCACTTCACCCTTCATCAACTTTCTACTGTTTTTGAGACCCTGCACATTTGTACAAATGTGAGAACCACATGCAGTATCTAATATCCATGCAGAAGAAGTAGAAAGGTGAATGTCTATAACATAAATACCTGAAGGAGTAGCCCCACTATCCTTCTTCTTTTTCAGATCTTCCAAGTAGAGCTTGTAATTCCTCTTCTAATGACCCAGTTCATTGCAAAAGAAGCAAACTCCTTCCTTTGGAGGCTTTGCCTTCTTGGCTAGAGGCTTGGTTTTGGGCTTGTTCGACTCTTTGGTCTTACCATCTGAACCTTTACTCTTTCCCTTGCCCTTACCTTTGCCTTTCTTTTCCATACCCTTTCCTTTCTGAACCATCAAAACAGTGTTAGGCTTTTTCTTAATGTTTTGCTTAGTAGTTTTAAACATCCTATGCAGTTCAAAAATGGATTTCTCCATGTCATTCATGATATAGTTCATAACAAACTGGTCATAACTTTTCGGGAGTGAGTTTTAAGATCAAATCTGTAGCCAACTCCTGGCTTAAGGGAAATCTGAGCCTCTCAAGGTGATCAATATAGCTCTTCATCTTTAAAACATGAGTGCTAACTAATGCACCCTCAGCCATCTTACAGGAGTGTAAGGCCTTTGTGGTCTCATACCTCTCTTGCCTTCCCTGTTGCTGAAACATTTCCTTAAGATGTACAATCATCTCATAAGCCTCCATGTGTTCCAAATCTCTTTGAAGTTTTGGAACCATGGTAGCTAGCATTAGGCATCCTACATCCACCGAGTCATTAGTGTGCTTTGTGTAAGCATCCCTTTGAGCTCTTGGAATGTTGGTCGCAGGCTCCTCAGGAATGGGTTCATCCAGGACATAAGCCTTCTTTTCTTGCTTGAGAACAATTTTCAAGTTCCTGAACTAGTCAAGAAAGTTTGTCCCATTGAGTTTGTCCTTCTCAAGGACTGAGTTGCATTCACACGAGCATGAACATATGGACAGCACACTTAATTCATCCACTATCACTCCATTTGTAGCACATGCCATGTCTACTTCTTTCTATGATAATACCTTTTTTGCTTTGAGTAATTTTCTTGCTTTGGATGAATTTCATGATGTCACAGCTCATTTTTAAAGGCATAATTTACATTTTTGGACTAAATAGGAAATAACTTTGAACTATATATGAATCAATTGCATTCAAAATTAATAATTATATCATGTAATACTATTCTTAACTAAGCCTAAAAATATTGAATTGAGTGGATTCTTGTATTATCGTATTACAAACTTACAATTTCTTTATAAGTGACATATAACAAAACTAGATTATGAATAATATCCCTTATAATTTATTCCATGAACTTAGGGAAATTTAATTTATTTTCTTTTCAGATTTTATTATATATATATATATATTTTAAAAGATTATATAATTTGATTTACTCTTATTCAAATGAAGTGCCTATGATTTAGCTAGAAAACATAATTGTGTAAATGGGCTTGAACCTGTACGTTTGCTACTACTTTCTTATTTCTTAACAACACCTATGTTTGTCTATTATTTGGATCCAGACTATTATACCTTCACTTGGAAAAATAATATATAAAGTTGTAGAGATCAAAATATTATGATCTTAGGCTTTTCGGAAATCTCAAAGTGTTGTTAATAAAAGAAAAATATTAAACTGAACATATCTCATTCCAATTCATACAGTTAATTCGTGCAAGTTAATTATTCAATTTGGACACTTAGCTTATTTCAGAATTCCTATGTAAATTTTGAAAATTCACCATTAATTCTAGAAAACACGTTTTTATGTGATTTTTGATTTGTTTGAAAGCTGGATAAGTCTAATATATTAGAAAAATATTTAGCTGAATTTTTCATGGCCCTATTAATACAGTTTTTATGTTGATACCTAATCTCTATTCTGGACCTAACGCTTTATTCTTATTTCTGGACTTGTATATTTGAAAAATCATATCTCAAGATTTACTAACTCAAATAATGTGATCTAAGTATCATTTGAAAGCTTAAAATGTCTATTAACTAGTAATAAAATTTTATGGTTTTTCTAAAAGTCAGTATCAATACAAAAACTCTATTATAGGAAACATACGTATTTTTAACTTACACAGTCATTTATTTACAACTAGGTTTTTTTTTTTTTTTTTTGTGTTTTGGCCATTACATACCAGTCCAAAATAATTCAAAATAGTCCAGAAGCACGTTATCTCATATTACAACTGTAGCATTCAGAAGTTTACAGACCAACTTAAAACACACGTACTCTAATAATTACACAAAACTATTTAGGACAAATCCATAGATTTCAAACTTCATTAGCTTTTCCTTTGTCTTTACTTGAGCTGGGCCCTGACATGGTTAATAAATTTTAAGGAATGAGATTATGAAAATCTCAATAGCAAAACATACACTTACTAAATATATATATATATTTGGTCCACATATTTTAATTCACAAACACACATTCAACTTTATGCACAAATATCTACTAGAATAGAATTATGGCAGGAAAAGAAATACTTTCTAGTTTTGCATTTCGGAAATCATGTTACAACATTTAAAGTATATCATTTACATATATGTAGCATTCATTAACATTAAGCAATTCAACACATGTAGAACCAAATTTATATACTAAAGGAAGTATAAGTTCTGCTACCTTAGATTCTCTAGCTTGATAATGTTTCTTCCTCCTTGTTATCCTAGATCACTTTTCTTTTGCTTCTTCTTTTCTCCCTCTTGTGACCTACTCAACTCTTTCTCATACTCTCACTCTCTCGGTTTTGTTTGTAGAAAGAAAGAAATGATATGAAAGAGTACAAGACTAATGGGGTATATATAGGTGCAATAGAAACGGCGGTCTTTCTTTTCTCATTGATCGAAAATGAATTCTTAAACAAAAAATTCTGCCACCTAATCCATTTCTCTTCCTTTTGATTCTAATTCCATGACACCTAATCTAAGTTGCTGCCACCTAATAAAGTTTTGGCTTCCCTAGTTGGTATTTCTCTTTTTTTTTTAATACTTGAATGTAGAGATAACCACCGAACGATCTAAAATATATTTTAATCATCTATTCTTATATATTTTAATAGAGTGGCTGCCATCTATTCTTTAATCATTGACACAAATGAATGAATGAAGATATATATATAATAATAAAATGAATTTGATGGAAGCAACGTGCTAATCATACATTCACTAACTTCTAATTTAATTAATATTTATTCTATTTGGTTTCACAACTGGAAAAGAGAAAAATGATTAATCCTTTAATCTACCTCCAATAATTCTCTTAATTTAAAATTATAAAATCAACCTTAACTTTTATGCTTAAAATATTTTCTAAAATATCCAATTTCATAAATTATGTTACTACATAACAAGCAATTTGATAGGTGCTGGTTTTAGGGATGTTATGCATGACTTAAGCATTAATTCTAAAATTTCTTATGAGTCATTGATTGAATTAAGTGATAATAGTGAAATTGAACATCATGATGGCTCTAGTTCATCTTTTCCATGTGAAATTGCACAACATCATTTTTTTTTTTGCAAATTAAACAAAATTAACACCATCCCATTGCAATTCACACAAATGGAATCATGAGTACATGAACAAGTAAACCTAGGAAAGGACTCAACATTCTCAAATCTAGGAGGCATGTAAACCTCATCAATGACCCTATCAAGTGTATCCTCAATGCAATCAACAAAGTGAAGGCTATAATCCACATAAGAGTTTTTCAAGCTATCAAAAATATTAAATTCAATTTTTCTCTCCAAAAACCCCATCATGAGTTTACCTTCCTTCATATCCAAAATGGTATTTAAGGTTATCATGAATGGTCTCCCAAGAATAAGTGTGCGTTATCCTCCCTCTTGCATGTCTAGCACATAAAAATATGCTAGAAATACTAAGTCTTCCACTTTCACTAAGATATCTTCCAAAAATCCCTTAGGCTTCCTTGTGCTTCAATCAGCAAGTTGTAAGATCACACTACAATCTTAAAGGCCTCCAAGATTCAGAGAAGAGTAGATGTGAGTCAGCATGATATTAATTGTTGCCCCAAGATCTATGAGAGCTCTAGAGCAATCACACTCACAATTTGACAAGGAATGGTGCAAGCTCTCGGATCTTTACACTTGATAGGAAGTTATGGCTTGAAAATTGCACTCATACTTGGACTCATTTGCACAGTGGCTAATGGCTTGAATCTCCTCTTATTTGTGCACAACTCTTTCAAGAATTTAGTATATTTGGGCATGCTCTTGATCATATCAAGTAATGGTATGTTCACTTCAACTTTCTTCAATATATCAAATATGTATTGCCTATCATCTTCTTGACCCTTCTTGACAAATCTAGCTAAGGCCTTGGGAAATGGCATGTCTTTAGGGAGAGGATCCCTAAGTTGATACTCCTTAGGTGGCTCTCTTCTTCCTCACATTTCTTTCTCCTTAGGCTTTCTTGAACTCAATTTGGTTGGCTTGGAAGAACTAGGGACAACATTTGTATCATCACCATTTTTAATTTCTTTTAAGCTCAATTCTTTTTGGATTACATGGGAATTTGAATCAGCCTTTGCTTCCACTTTACCTTCAACTACAATCTCTTCTATGGAATCATCCTCATCATCAATCACTTGAGGAACACTAGAAGAGGAAGGCATGCTGTCATAAGCTTTAGAAGCACTTGGATTTGCAAAAGGAGGCGTGACATGAAGAACTCTCCCACTTCTCAACTCAATTGCACTAATGCTCTTCGGATTTATCACTGGTTGAGTTGGAAGCTTCCCATTACTTTGGGCTTGATTGATGCTATTTATGTTGCCAAGTTGTTGAACCACCATATTTGTACTTTGTTGTCTTTTTTCAAGAATCTCCATCCTCTTAAGCAACATATCAATTTTAGAATCAGTATTGGAAACATGAGAGTCAAACTTTTGGCTAATATTAATCATAGCATTCCCCATCTTCTCAAGGTAAGAGTACATTTGCTTATCACCCCCACCCTCTTTAATAGGGATAACTTGAGTGTTCTTAGGTTGAGTCATCTCTTGATTGCCTCTATAGCAAAAATTGAGATATTGCCTCTAACTTTGGTTGTATGTGCTTCCATAATTAGCCTCAAAATTATTTCTACCCCCTTGTTTATTTTGGAAGTTATAGGGACTTTGTTGTTGATAAATAACCCCAACCTCTTAATTTCCATAGGCATGTATGCAATTAGAAGTAATATGTATGGTAAAGTTGCATATCCCACAATTTAGAGCCACAATTGCCTTAGACATAGAAGAGACCTAAGGATGTGCGGGACTAGCAATATACATCTTGAGAAAGTCAAGTTGAGAGTAGATATCTTCTAATTGAGCATTTGGAATGGAAGATTAACACACATGATGAACACCTCTTGCATTGTCCCTTAAGTTATATTGTTGGTTGTTATTTGCTAATCTTTCTAACAAAGCCCAAGCATCATCCGGTGGAAGATCAAGTAAAGAGCCATTTGCAATAGCATCTGTCCCCCTATTATGAATTTGAAGTCCCACATGGAAATAATCAACCAGAAACTCCTTCCCCGCATTAAGGTAGTGAAATCTTGCAAGCAACTCCAAGAATCTCATCCAATATTCATAAAGAGACTCTTGAGGCATTTGTTGAATCCTTATGAGTTTCTTCCTCAATTGTGAATATTTAGTTGCTAGAAAATACTTTTTAAGGAAACAATTCCTCATTTTGGCCAAAGAGTTGATGGTTCTAGTAGCAAGGGTGTAATGGCAAAATCCAGTAGCTAACTTGATCAAAGAGGAGACCAATTGCTCAAACAAAAGCTCCAACCACTACAAACCACTAATTCCAGAATTAAGCAAAATGTAACACAAATTAAAATGGCAATTGAATTAAGCATCTATATAGCTAATTGCTCCCCGGAAACTGCGCCAATTGGTAAAGCCCTAAGTCACTTTAGGCCATCAATGAAAACTAGAATCTAGTTTGTAGCACTCTAGGTCATCTCCCAAGAAAGCAATGTATGCAAATTTTTAGTTCAATTACCAACAAGTTAAAAAGTGTTTAATTGATGCAACTAGGTCTAAAATGTAAGAAACAAATGTTTGTAATTTATGTCTTTAATGAGATTATATGAATATGTGTAATGAAGAGCCCAAGTTAGAATCCCTAGCAATTATCCTTGAGTTATAGATTTGAATCCACACAAGCAATTTCAATTAGCCTAATATAGAACACTTAAAAGCCTTCAAGTTTAGTGAATCATTAAACTTAATGAACACATAAGAATTTAAAGCCAAGTGAATCAACGTAAATATCATGTCCAGCCTTATTCTAACCACACAAATTGTTAACCAAAACAAGTGGAAGAAAAACATCGTAAGCTAAATTGATATAACTCACATGGATCTAGCTCAAACTAAAATGAAACTTTGAACAAGAATCAACAAGAACACATGAACATACTTAAGAATACTCAAATTAGTTCATGAATTCTAGAGCTTAACACAATATTAAACTTCAATTCAACATTCATAATCTCAACTAAACATGAGTTAGAATCACAAATTCATAACCTAGTTAGATTACAAAATTTGAAATCCCTAAAGAATAAGAAGAAATTATATGTCACACCTTGATACTAAGGGTATGACTAGCACGGAATCTTAGATAAATTCACATTTCATAAGCCTTAATTTTATTAGGTTAAGCTAAAATTTCGATAACTAATTTATATATATAATTATAATTATAAGATTTGAAAAAAATATTAAATATTCTATAGAAATTTTGGCAAAGTCTCCCCTATAAACTGGACCTCCCAAAATTTCTATAATAACAAAACCTGCCAGTTAATTAGAAAAGAAAATTAGCTTTACACTAGTAGATTATATATCAATAAAAAAAACTAGGATCTAACTATGATATATATTGAGCACTAAATTACAACCTAACAATATAATATAGTTTTTACCCAAGAGCTTATCAAAAGGTGCTTCCACTGTCCAAAAAGCTATGGGGCCTCTCAACGATTAGTAGGAGGCACAGGATCAGCTACAATATCTGAGACTAAAGAAATTTCTAGTGAGTAGCATTCCAATCAGAACTATATTTAAAATAATTAAGAGATAAAACTAATAAATTTAGTCTACAATAATTTTATGAAATAATGAAACATATACATGAATTAACAATAAAGACCAATTCTTTTCCAATAATACAATTGTGAAATTTAACAATACTAATAGAACGATATAAATTTATCAATATTTGTGCTACTCATAGAATATAATAATTTCAAATAATGACACAATTAGGTAAAATGCTTTTAGAGAATTTATAGAAATAATAAATTTTAATTTTAAATTTAGGAGTGTTTTATCAGAACAAATAACAAGTGTGGATATATAATCTATGAGGATAAATAACCAATCAAGCCACACAGTTCACAAGGGTAAGTAACTAGTCATGTGGGGCTAAAAGCCATGAAACAAGTGTGGAGTTAAGAACAATTTCAAAATTTTCACTTTCAAAATATGTGATTCAGTTGTCAGCTTCCATTCCCATATTCATTGTCATTTCCTTCATACACGAGTTGCTGTACTAAAAGTTTGCATATCAATCATTAAATTAAACAAGTAAATTGTTTTTGAAAAGTAACATAGTTTGCTGCATATCAACTTTAATTATTATTTGTTAATAACATAAATCATTAGTAAAATCAAGATATCATCATTGATAAAATGATTATATAAATTATAAAGAAATAATATTAAAATTTTAAGCAAAGGAGTTTTATAAACACTTGCTATAAATTCATTCAGAATGCTATCCACTCGCCTGAGTTTCCAAAAAAATTTTATAGTTAGACTCCCTCAATATCTTGCTTACTCTAATGATGCCCCAAATTAATCTACCATATAAACTAATACATTTTATGTCATTATACATTTCCTTTCTTATAATAAACCAAAAAATTAATATTCAAAATCTTTACTAATTCTTAAAATTTCTCATTAATCCCTTAAATCTTTGCTAACCCTTCTACAACTTCAATCAAATAGTTTAGTGATATTTATGTAGAGGAATATGAGTGGTCAAGATGGAATTTGTCCCTCACATTAAGTGAGAGATATTATTGGGCCCCTTGATGAGTAAGACTGAGAAAATGTATGGCTATACTATAATGGAAAAAGGGTTTTTCCATTGCCACAGTTAATCCACTTAGATATCGAGAAAGTAACGGTTAGGTAAAGGAGAATGACAATTCCATGTCTCATACTTGACCGAAATATCATGTGACAAAAGGGATGTGATATGGTTGCATGACTGAAATATCGCATGACAAAAGGGATGTAATATGGTTACATGATATGTTACATCGAATCATCGATCCCCATGTAAATTGGGTAGTTGCAACATCTTATTAGAGACCACTTGTGACTTATAGAATAATAACGTAATTAGCCTACTGTCAATCTCATATGAGCCTACAAGATCGCATATAAGAATAGCCCAACTTGAGCTATAATATCCAAGTTCATTGAATCTGAAATGTCTAGATTCAATGAATGTAATATAGGGTGAATGAATTTCATATATATATATATATTTAAATATTTATTTGATAAATATTTATATATATTTATATGAAATATAACATTCAAAATATAATTTTATCTATATATATTTTCAATATATATATATATATATTCATACATGTGTGTGTATATATATCAGATATATATATATGTATATGATATATAAAATTAAATATATATATATATATATATATGTTTTCGAAATATATATGTATATATATATACATGAATATATATATATATATATAAGATAAACATTTATATATATATATATTTACATGAAATATAAAATTTAAAATATAATTTTATCTATATATATTTTCGAAATATATATATTCATATGTGTGTGTGTATCAAATATATATATATATATGTATATGATATATAAAATTAAATATAATATATATATATATATATATGTTTTCGAAATATATATATGTTGTTCGTGTGTATACCGGTAGAGGAGTAGATTTATGTTGTTAGCTCTTGAGATTCAAACTCTTGAAGAGAACGTGAGTTAAGTTCGAAGAATTAAAAGCTAACTCTTCTATCCACCTTAACTTAAACGAGTTTATTCGGTTCATATCAGGATAGAGATTTTAAAATTTTAATCTTCTGCTGTGCCTCCCTATCCAACAAGACTAACCAAAATCAAAATCTAATAAGAAGCAAATGAAATATAAATGTCTAGCGGTAATAGAATGTAAAAAACTATTACGTAATAAATTGAGAGAGGAGAATGACTAACAGTTGAAAAGTTATCATATTATTACATAACACAAGGGACGCCTAAGGCCAATGCAATTAAAAAAAAAAAAAAAGACAAAACAAAGAACCTGCATCTTTTTTTTAACTACAATAGGCAAGCAAGGAGTTTGGAGAGGGAAAGCTGATCATGAAGGTTACCAAGAATCGGCATCTTAAGCCCCGTGGCCTGTTGGTCATCCCTAGCCCCTTCCGCTACTTCCTGAACTTCCTCAGTCCAAACACACTTCCCAACAAGAAATAATTGTGATGCTGATTCAGCAGAATTTATCCCTCAAAAATTACATTAGGTATAAGAAAATCAGATGGATCACGGATAATATTCTCGTTGTTCACCGTAACATTCACTTTCCTGAATAGTTTCCACGTCCCTTGCGTTGCTATTGTGTTTTTGAACAGAAATTAAAAAATAATTCAAACAGGCCCTATAGTAGGATAGGCCCAAGTCAAGATTGGGCCGGCTTATTGATTCACTGGAGGGTCGGACAAACTAACACAATTCACAATACAAAATCCGGGAGGGTTTGCCGCTAGGTTAGTTCAGACCAGTTGTGAAGCTGAAGAGGCAGAGGCGGTAGGCGGAAGATTCAGACTTGAGAGAAGCGAAGCAAATAGATTCATTCTCAAGGCCCTCGAGTGGATCATGGTCTCAGTTTAACACAGCGGATTTCACAGACCAGCTCAAGACACAGCTTGCTCAGGCCTATGCCGAAGAATTCCTCGAGGTTTCCATTTTCTTTCTTCTGCTTTTTTCCGTCTATGCCATTTCTATTATTCAAATGATCGTTACCCTTCTTTTTCTGCTCTTTCGTTTATTGTTTATGGAACAATGGACTTATGTCCCTCCTCAAATGTGGGCGGTGAACCATAAGATCTCAATACCCAGGACACCCGAACCTGCCATTCTCTCAGGGACCCTAAGTATTCATCCTCTCCTTCATCTTCTTTTGCAAAACTCCAGATTTTCCCTAGGCGAAGGTCTCCAGAACTTCCCCAAAAATTCGGCTATTACGCTGCTTACACAACAACCAAAGATGAATGCCTAGGGTAAGCCTATCCCTGCTACTGAGATTCACAACCACCCACTGTACAAGATCCATTGAGAAAAATCTAGGTTGTAGATTTCTATTAAGATCTTGCCATAGTCTTCTTGCTCATCACATGTGTTGAACATTACCTTTCTCTACACACATCACACTCCCCTGCCACACCCCATCTATGGCTCCTGAGACTATTTGTTTGCAAACGATCATTCGCTAACAACCATAAAAAACATCTGATCTGCTAGAGTAATTTCTTTTTATATGTTTCCTTGATGTTATCGGTCTTATGAATGTATTCTAATTGAAATGCATATATAAGATACCATGTTCACATGTAAATGGCTTAAAGATATCCACGAGACAGGACAGTAGGTTACATAAAGTTTCCCAATCAAGTCCTCAAGCCAATCACACCAGTAGTTGGAGACTGCTTACCTCTTGAAGACTGTAAAATTTGTTCCTTAATTCTCCCTCATTAAGCTTGAGATCCATATCTTCACGACTGGAAAATAGAAAACCATAGGTGTGAAGCCGTTGAAGAGATGAACACTTTTTCTACAGGAACTTTTATGATTGGTTGAGGTTTAATGGAAGAAATTGAAGGTAAAAGCCCAAGCCATCATGTCCGCCTTTTACATCTTCATGAGGTCTCTCTTTTCTGCTTTCAGTTTTCAGCTTGACGCTAGAATAAACTAAATGAAAAATAAATTGGTTTATGGAAGGTCAGTCAAAATGAGGTCCAATAAAGTTGAAACACCTAATCATTTATTAAGCTAGCATTGGCAAGTGTATCCCGCTAAATTTGGTTAATTGTCCAGCAATTTTTTATATTTCATTCCTTCAATTTTTCTGACTGTGAGGCACCGAAATAAGATGGTCATTACTTATTAATTAGCTTAGTGGACTTGGTCATGTTGGGGTCCAATGAGAACTTGACAACATAATTATTTATGGTCATTACTTGCTTTTGTTTTCCTTAGCCTTGGATTTGTATCAGTTGCAGGCAAAATTTTCCAATAATAATTTCTTTCTTGTCTCTTCTTTGTTTCTCCATTTATTTTATCTTCCACTTCTCATCTCAACCCTGGAATCAAATAAAATTTTGAATCATTAGGATTTAACATTTCACAAAATTATTTTTAAAATATAAAATTATGAAAAGTTATTAAATGAATTTAAACTATAAAAATTTATCTACATAGTTTAGAACTATAATTTAAAAAACATTATTTTATAATTAACTAAACGTCCTTCTTAAACAACTTTATTTCTATATGGCATCTTTCAATGTCTTTGTCAAGTGGTTGATCTGTACATTGTTATCTTTGGTATTTCTCTTTTCTTGTAGGCCCAAAGCCGCACCTAGAAAATCAAATCAATTGTTGACTTTTCTGGAAGATATGAAAGTGCTTTTTTCTTTTTTTTTTTTGGGTGGGAGTATGAAAGTGCTTTTGATTAACAAGGTTTATGTCATCAATGTTTTAGGTACCTTTTCCTTTTCCTCTTGGTCTCCTGTATGGTTTGAATGCTTTCATCATGCTTTCATTGTTTTTGTTGGCACAGTTGTATCTACATGATGATTTCACATCAATTCTACATGATGATTATTTTCTCCCAAGAGCTCCACATCCAATTAATTTTTCTACTGTTTTGATTCAATGCGGCGATCATTTGATGGAAGTTAATGTACTTCGTTTGCTTAACATGTGCTTTACTTCACTTGTTCTTACTATTTGTTTGGTAAAGAATAAAGGGTATTCGCTGTAGGTGTCAATGAATCGGAAAATGAAGGGGAGAGAACCAACTTAAGCTTGGGAGAACTGAAATTAGAAAGGGGCATTTTTCTATAATACTTCCATATCATTTATCTTAGATTTTATTACTTTGTGTGCTAATTCTTTGCATGGATTTAAATATTTTGATGCCATTCCCATTCTAGGTGCCGGGCATCATTTTGTGGCATGTTTGATGAAATTGTTTAAAGGCTTTTCCTGGACAAAATGGAAGCATAAAGTGCAGCTATTTACTCCCATGTATTCGGCTTCCTCCTTATTAGAGTTTATGCATTTCATGGAGCCACCCTGATCAGGTTGTGTCTCTCCAACTTAAACTCTACATTTATTGATCTTCTTGCGTCTCTCCAATTGGAAGGAATATTGAGCCTTCATGCCTATTCTTCGTTGAAATTCTATGTGATGCCACTTGCATTTGCTAGCCCTCTAGAACTTGTCTTTATTCTTGTTGAGGCTACACTTTGCATATTTCAATTGGAAAATGATTCAGGCATTCATAAAAATTGCCAGTCTCACTTAAAAGGCCAGCCTAGATATTATATCCTTTCCTTACCCTTTGAGCCTAACTATTTGTATTTCTATTCCATTCCATTCCATCCATATTCCATTCGAATTTCATTATAGATGCAACTCAACATGATCCCATTACATTGTAGACACGTGGCTTGATTTCATTTAGAAAATGCATGTGCTTTGTTATCATTCTAGCTTGCAATTAATGTCCGTGATTGGTTACATGCTCTGGATGCCTAATTGCAGCTGCACCATTGTGATTACCATTCTGAATTGTTGGATTTACTTGGAGGTTTAAAAAAATGGAAAAAGAGAAAAAAGAAAAGCATAAAAAAAAAGAAAGTGAAAAGGAGAGAGATGAAGAAAAGAAAACAAATTATACCAGAAAAATAAAAAAGAATAGAAGAAAAGAAGTGACAAATAGAAAAAAAAAAGAGAAACAGAAATAGAAAAGAAAAATAGAGAAAAGAAAAAGAAAGAAGGAATAAAAGTGAATTCAAATTCTTTGTATTGAGTTTTGCACTGCTAGTTGTTATGGATTGTCACTATTGTAATTGCATTTACTACTTGAAATTGGTTCATGTGTTTACTTTGTGAGGGATCAAACACATTTATCTACCTTGACATCATACTCCATTTTCATCCATATTTTAAGTCTGTCATAATCATTTTTTCTGAAAAGACCTGATGATTCTGGTTGTGCATGCTATTTAGTAGTGGAGATTTTAGAATTTTGACAAGCTTATGGTAGTGCTGCATTGCAAGTGGTTGAGTGAAAATGACCCAATGCACTTTCGTGAGTTGAGTGAAACACTTAATCGTTGTGTGGCTATCTGTTTGTTTCATGCCTTTTAGATTTTGAATCTTTGATTGCTCTTGTTTGTAAGTGTGGTGGATGTTTGATCATAATAAGTTGACGTGGTAGATTGAATTGAGCTGGCAATGATCACTCTTGTTTTCTATTTCTGTTTTGTTTTTGGGAAATTGATTTTGGCTAACTTTTACTCAGGAGTGCAAAAGGGTAAGTGTAAGGGAATTTGATAAACCAAAATTGTTGCATATTTTTATTCTTCTTTTGCATGATTATTAGCACTCATTTAAATATTTTTGAACATATTTGGTGATTTTTGATCATTTGGGCATTTTTAGTAATTATGGGAAATTTGTGTCAAAAGTACAATTTTCTAGAGTTTGGGTCAATTAGTCATTTCCCTATTTCTTTTCCAATTTAATTTTGAAGTTGCCAACTCATTAAATCCTATCATTCATTCTCATATTTTCCAGTTTGCATTCTAGTATTTTCATAGCATTTTTCGGATATGAATTTGCATTTATTAAATCATTTAGTCATTTGTTTTAATCTTATTTTTTTTCCATTTATGTTACATCATATTTTGTTTCATGTTTTTATTATATATTATCTCAAAGATTTTATTACTTTCTAATTTTAGGGCGTGCATTTTAGAATTAATAAGAGGGGATAATCAAATTTCATTTGTTATTCTTTTATTTTATTTTTATTTCAATTGCTTATTTTAATTTTGTAGCCTCGCTGGACGTATCATCTTCATTTTTTTTTTTAAATTTTCAGAACACACTCTTACTTGACTAACCGGCAACTGCATCTTCCTCATTTCTTTCTCCTTCTCTCAAGAAATCTGGTCTCTCTAACCTTTCTCTTTTAAGTTGTACTTTCGATTTAATCAATTTCTTTTTCTTTTAACTGCTTGTGCGTTTATTTATTTATTTCTTCACTTTTGCTCTATTTCTTATTCTTGATTTTTTCCATCTATCTCTTCTCCTTTTAAGTTCTACTCCTACTTTAAGCATTTTTGCCATTTTATTTATTTTCTTGTGCATTGATTGTTTAATTATATTCTTGTGCATTGATTATTTAGTCAACAACAACAACAACAAGCCTTTATCCCACTAGGTGGGGTCGGCTACATGGATTGCAAGACGCCATTGTGCTCTATCATTTATCAAGCTCTTAGGAATATTATTAATTAAGAGATCGCGTTCAACAACTTCCAAGAGTGTTCTCTTAGGCCTTCCTCTATCTCTCTTAATCGGACTCAAAGTTATATGTTTCACTCTTCTCACTGGTGCCTCCCTTGGTCTTCTTTGTACATGCCCAAACCATCTCAACCGATTTTCTACCATTTTTTCCTCAATAGGTGCCACCCTCACTTTTTCGCGTACGTGTTCATTTCGAATTTTATCTTTTCGTGTATGTTTGCACATCCATCGTAACATTCTCATCTCTGCTACTCCAATTTTATGCTCTTGCTGTCCCGTTAGAGCCCAGCATTCATTACTATATAACATTGCCGGTCTGATAGCAGTGCGATAAAACTTTTCTTTAAGTTTATTAGGCACCTTACGGTCGCAAATAACTCCTTTAGCTTTTCTCCAATTGATTATTTAGTCAATTGCTTTTTTTTTATTAATGTATAGATACCCAAACAATTAAAAATTAAAAAATGAATAAATATCAAGAGAAATTTGGATAGAATAAAAGGTAAGGGTTGTACGAAGCTTACCCGACAAGTTATTGATCAGAGATGCCTTCCAATGCTTTGAGAACTCTTGCCCTAGCAGCCAAGACTTTTTTCTCCACTCCCTTTCACGTTTTTTTTTCCTTCTGATTTTTTCCTTTGGAAACTCATGAAATTTCACGATCTATTTAGTCATTTTCTGGTCCATGTGTTACGACGCATGCAGCGCGTGGCATAGTGAGGAGAATCCTCACCATGTGTGCTTCAATTCGAAATGCAATTCTTCCACCATATTTGTCTATTCAACATTCAAAGGACACAAATCAATAACTAATCATTCAAATTTTTAATCCTTTACTAATTATCATTTTACCTCTAATTAATAACCTATCATAGGATTACAAAAATCTGGATGTTACATATTACATATCACACCATGATGTTATGCATGATCTAATCCATCCAAATCTTTAATAACCTTGACTGAAAACCAAACCTATAGGTATCATAAACCACTTTTTAATTACAGGTCCCCTTATTTTAAGAAATTGGGAGTGTCATTATTCCAACTCTACATTTTACGGATGATAAAGAGTATAATCTTCAACTCCACACTCATATTAATTTATGCGTGATGTTTTTCCTTAATTTACTACGAATATTTTATTTTGATACGACAGACATGCAGAGTCCAAGAAATTATTTATTTAAATTTATTAATATCAGAGACAATATAAGATTATTATAACTAATTCAAAAGGAGAAGAAAGAATAAATTTAATAATAACATGATATGAAAGAATATCATGTCAATTTTTAATTATATATAGATAGGGACGTGCTTTATGAAGAGATAGAGAGTTGTTATTTAAAAGGAGAATGGATGCAGGAAACGCTAACATGCTGTTCAAGTTAGAGAGTTGTTCATGTGGATATCAATAAAAGGAGCGGATCTACATTGTCAACTCCTGAGATCCAAATTCTTAAAAAAAAGAACACGTCAAATTCAAAGAAGTAAAAGATAACTTTTCTATCCACCTTAACTTAAATGAGTTTGTTCGATCCATATCTGATAGTGGAAGAGCTAAGAGATATGATGGTAGACATAAGGCAAACAATTCGGGATCATGGCATACAGGTTACCAAAGGATCAGATCGTTTCAGAGGGGGTTAATGCAGAGAAATGATGGGGCTATGAGAATTATATATGAGACAAGCATATTCCAGTACTAAATTCACCTAAGATAATTTCTCAAGAACAGAGATTCAACCTCTCTATGGTTTATCAGTTCTGTCACATCCTTGGTCTTGAAATTAGTAATGGAAGGACCCAGTCGTGTAATTTGGCATAATTTTGAACATCTTATGATAGCAATTTATTTGGTTGACCATCTTGCACTAAACACCATTTAGTCATCTCTACTAGAGCATCAGCCATTCCTTGTTTACCTCCGGTGCTTCCTCTACCTCCAATAGGATTATTTGAGTTAGACCCCTCCAATTTCCCCTTGAGATTTCGATATAGATTACCTAAATGTGTTGATTTTCAAATTTTTGCTGTCGCCTTGGGACGCATGCATTTCCCAGATCCAGGAGGAGGAGGCGGTGGAGGGCCCACTCTACTTCGACCTAGCATTGGAGGAGGAGGCATTGCACCAGCTGGTCTAGCCTTCAACCATGGTGGTGGTGGTGGTGGAGACAGTCCTTTAGCACAAGGCAAGCAATTTCCTTTCTAGGTATAGATGGTTGTGGCAGTGGAGGCAGGGGTGGGGGCATCACCTTTTTATGTATCAATGGTTGAGGTGGTGGTGGCAGCAGCGGTGAAGGCATTACAACAACCACAGTTGGCTTTAAGATAGGTGGTGGTGGTGGTGGTGGAGGAGGAGGCAGTGCTAGAGGTGCAAATGGAGTGCGAGATGGTGTAAGAATTTGGAGATGGAGGTGGAAGTGGAGGGGATAACTTAGGCAACTGAAATGGCTGCAGTAGAAAAGGTGTATTGTGGGCTGATTTAATGTCAAGGTCAAAAACAAAAGATCTTGCGGCGCATCATCTCCAGAATCGCTGCACATATCATCTATCTCACCCATATCTCTTATGTCTTGTTGCCAATGGGAAGAGACAGGTGCTTGACACACGCTTGAACTCTTGCGAGACCACAGAGGGGAGATAAAATGATTGCTGCCCCTCAAGCTGCTAGAGGGAAGAACTGATTTCGGAGTGGCAGGAGAAGGGCCACCGAAGAAGCTACTCTTTGAGAAGGTATACGAATATGGGGATTCCATTCTTAACCATTTGTTCTTTCCTTGATCCTCTTCCTCCACACTTGCCAGCTTCATCAACTAATCTAGTATGGCCAACACACACTCTCCTGCAGAATTATATTGATAACTAATTCCCCCAAACACCTCATGAGAAAATGTTCCATACTAATGGATTTGGGTCCATAACTATGGGTTCCAATGTACGAGATCTTGTAGCACTTACCAATGAGGCCCTATCGATTAGTATCAATTATAGACACTAATCTAATTAGATCTGCTCTTCATAGGCAAACTTGGGATTTGCGATCCCATAATGCCTTCCTCGTCATTAATATGTTTGCTTGCAGTAATTGTGGCCTCTCGGGAGAATTGATGACTGCATCTTTACAACAACTAATATTGCCCGGAGGTTGCTAACTCATAATTCATTTTCTCATCCAATCATTATTCATCATCCACGATTCTCCCACACACTTCATAGCCTTGCAGAAGAAGGCCAGGGATGTAAAATATTATCCAAATTTTTCCTCAACAACAGTTTTCCGCAACTCCATAACAGAGTAAATATCAATAATATAACCTTATCTATTGACTTCCCCTTAATATCTAACACTTGATATCTTAGAACAATTGCGGGGTATTTGTAGATCGTCTCATGTTTGGATAATAAAGGCATGCGGCCATGCTGAAATATTCTATTCTTTGATTTGGTGCTCATTGCGACAATGTGCAATGTGTTAGTTCATCATTTGCATAATTTAGAGGTTTATTTTTGCCAATTTATCTATTGAAATTTTGGAAAATGTTACTAGCTAAATAACTTTTATATAACTAAAAAAAATAAAATATAAATAAATAATTTTTTTTTGTAATTTGAATGATTTTTAGATAACATTTATATTTAAAGTAACTATCAACTAACGGTTGGGTAGATGAAAATGCAATACTAAAAATAAAGGATATGTATGTGGTTTGTAACTATTTATACTAGTAGAAGTTCCTGTAATTTAAAAAATTAGGGAGGAGGCATCTATAATTAAGGTAAAATAACATTAGATGTAACATCCAAAAGTTAATTATTGAATTAAATTATATTAACCAATGGTAATTAGAAGTAAGAAATAATAAGAATGGATTAAGTGTAAGGTGGAGCAAGATTTGGGACTTCAGAGTGTATTTGAGGGAGACTTTCAATTCTTAGTGTCACCACTATCTAATGAATTAGAGCAACTAGAATGAAGTGCACTATCTAAGCCACAAATGGAAGGAGAATCATGATCAAACAAAGAAATAGACTCATCTAAAGAAAATGTAAAAGTAGACCGGTCTATGGAGTCTTCATCACATGTAGCACCTAATGGTGACACTAAGCGAAGGTTTTTAATTAATTAAAAATTATATGAATTGAAAATTGGCCTAGTGATGGCTAATAAATGATTTTAGTAGTTAAGTGATACTAGGTGAATAGTTGATTTAATATATGGGCCATTAGGATGGATTATGACCCATTAACCCAAGTGGTGTGGTATGAATATAGTCTTCATTAATGCTATTTGTCATGAAAAGTGATGTGAATCATTTATATGTTGTAGAAAACTATTGATGGAACTTATTGAGAAGTTAAGAAATAAGTGAAGTCTTATTTTTGTACAAAGGAAAATCCTTTTGGTACAAAAAGGGTTGAGATAACAGGAGAATTATATTTTCTGTTGTTTTGTTCAACTACTTTTGAATAAATATTACTAGCTATCATGCATTACATGTTTTAAATGATTAAATGCAATTAATTATATTTTATAAAGACTTGTGAGGTACTACTTAGATAATAGTAAATATATGTTTTTTATTAAAAACGAGGTTGTTTACATGCATTGTAATTATAGATAATGGTAGTTGCAGTTAAGGAAGTGTAACTAGATTAGGTACCTTAGATATGCTAAGGAACTGCTTAAGGGAGGAGTGATATTTGTTATACTACCTTGGAGTATTGAAGTGATCAATACTCGGGAAAGGTAGACGAGTGAAAGGCATGATCTCGGTGGGAGTTCACCAATGGAGAGGTGTGTATTTGTGATATTCTATGGCACACTACTAGTACTCAGTGTTGCCTTTCATATTATGGGCTCAGTACACTAAAGTGGTTAGTGGATTGAGTGTTCGACACCTCTCAGTAGGGGAGGGAATCTGACGTATGAAGTGTGAGGTTGAGTACCTCGGCCAAGGCAGCTCTTACATGGAAAGTAAGTTGGGCTGAGCTTTGACTACTCAAGATTCACGTCGAAGGAGCACAGGGGGTTAGGTGAATTTGATCATGTCTTAGATTACGTTTTATGTCTATAGAGGTACGAGTGGGTATAAGGTTTACTTATGAGCTAAAGAGTACCAAGGGGTACTCTGTCGGTTAGGAAAGGTCATACTAGCCTACGTCATGCATTTTAAATGATTAAAGTATATTTTATGTTTAATCTATTATTCATTTATTTAACTATAACTTACTTTGTAATAATAAATGTAGATTTCTCTATTATTGAGACTGTGGTTGTCTCACTGCTTTCTTTATAATATTTATAGCTTCAAGCGAAGGATCCAGTGGTGGATGGGGAAAGGAGCAAAGTTAGGGGGTGTTTATAAATTGTAAACAACTATAACACCTTTCTTTTGAGTAAATTTATTGTAATGTATTTAGGATTAGGGTGCCAGTAGAATATGATTATATATTTGTGTGTGAATATGTGTGGATTGTATGGCTTTATATGATTTTTTTGTTTGCATGTAGACTTGTGATTAGGAACTTGGTTATGGTGTGTGGTTTTAATAGATTTATTTGGTAGACCAAGTTTCTACTACAAGCTAATGTTTATTTTGATTTATATGTGATTTTACAAGAAAATGCAAAGTGGTTGCATTGCAAATAGTGTGCTATCGGCAAACATATATCTTGGATAGGGAATGGGTGCGTGGGCCCCACGAGGATCTTTGAACCAAGTGAAAATGTGTATTCATATGTGTATATGGTGTTTGAAATGGTTTTTGGCCACTCTTGTGTGATTTATAAATTTTGAGGGCTTAGGGTCTATTTTGAAAAATGGCATCTAGGTAGTTAAATTTTAATATAAAGGATTTTTTTATCATTTAAATATTCTATCAGGTACTCCTAGTGCTATTTGACGTGTCTAAAGTGTTCTCACGGGTTTGTAACTATTAGGATGAGATTTGGACAATTTTGAAAATAATTTTTATCAAAAAGCTGCACTTTTACGTCTGGATGTCCAAATTTCAATCTGACTGTTGGATTTTCTGAAAATTTGGGTCACAAGTAAAACTTTTATAATCTTCACATGAGCTTTGAAATCACCTCGATCAAACATCGTACAGAGAAATGGTGCACTCTGAAAGTTAGTCCGGAAGTGTGATAGCAAAATTGCCAAAGTTACGGCATGCATGAATTTCAATCCATTAGTTGGATCTTTTCAAAATTTGGTATGCTAGTAATAATTTTTAAAAGTGACATGTGGACTCTAGAATTGTTCCGATTAGAGGTCGGATGATGAAATGGTGCACTCCAAAAGTTAGTTTAAAAATGCTATCATGACAGCAACTTTGTCCAATCTTGTAAAGTATTCAAATTCTTATTCGATCGTTAGTTTTTTGAAATTTGGTACACTACTAGTAATTATTAAAATTGATGTGTGAGCTTTAAAATTACTTTGATCAGATATTTAATGGTGGAATGGAACCTCTCAAAAGTTGGCCTGAGACGGCTGTTATGACAGTAATTTGATGTTGTTATGACAGAATTTTTTTACCCTACTTTCGCCTAGCTTGCTTCTCTGCACTATAGATAGAACCTATAAATTTTTCTAAAAGTTTTAAATGTTTATTTTGTGATGGTGTATTTGTTTAGTGATTTAAATGATTTGTTTTCTAAGTTGGTTTTAGAATCAACTCCTTAACCACACTTAGTTTATTTGAATTGTGTGATTTTTAGATAACACTCGAAGAAAGTATTACACTTATCACTTCCACCCTCTTGAATAGGGATAATTTGAGTATTTTTGGCTTGAGTCATCTCTTGATATCTCTATAACTGAAATTTGGATGTTGTCTTCAACTTAGGTTGTAAGTGCTTTCATAATTAGCCTCAAAGTTATTTCTGCCCCCTTGATTATTTTTAAAGTTGTAGGGCCTTTGTGGTTGATAAATAGCCCCAACCTATCAACTTCCATAGGTATACATGCAATTAGAAGTAACATGCATGGTAGAGTTGGATATGCCACATTGCTTTAGACATAGAAGAGACTTGAGAATGTAAAGGATTGGCAATAGACATCTTGAGAAAGTTAAGTTGAAAGTAGATGTCTTCCAATTGAGAATTAGGAATGGAAGCTTGACACACATGGTGAACACCTCTCGCATTATCCCTTGAGCTATATTGTTGATTGTTATTTGCTAATTTCTCTAAAGCCCAAGCATCATTCGGTGGAAGGTCAAGCAAAGAGCCATTTGTAGCAGCATCTATGGTCTCCCTATCATGTATTTGAAGGCCTACATGGAAGTAATCAACTAGAAATTCGTTGCCCACATTGAGATATGGACACCTAGCAAGAAACTCTAAGAATCTCATCCAATATTCATAAAGACACTCTTGAGGCATTTGTTGAATTCCCATGATTTCGTTCCTTAATTGCAAATACTTGGTTGCTGGAAAATACTTCTCAAAGAAACAATTTCTCATTTCAGGCCAAGAGTTGATGGTTCTAGTTGCAAGAGTATTGAACCATGTAATAGCCTTGTCTTCAAATGTGAATAAAATTTTTAGCATAAGATTCTCCAAGTTTGCTGTAGGTGGCTTCATTGTTGAGCAAACCCTCTCAAGAATTTGGAGATGCCTACCTGCAAGACCATGGAATTTAGGTAAGGCATTAATCAATGAAGGTTTAATCTCATATTCATTTTGCTCTTGCAAATTTAAATATGAGCCACTAGCTCTAAGTGCCACCATTTCTCTAAAGCTTTTCCTAACAAGTATATCATGGTTATTAGCATGCAAGTGTTCAGCCATACTATCTACACTCACAAAATTATCAACAATGGTGTTTGAAATTGAAGAAGATGCTAAGAACTCAAGATATTGGCCTCTAAATTGAATATATTCTCTAAGTCCTTTACAGGTTCTAAAAGACATATACAGCTTAAAACACCATAGAAATGATACTGGAAGAAAGAAAAATCAAATAAACAAAATTAAGCATAATCTGAAAAAAACGACAGAAAGCAAACACACTGGAGCAATATTTTTGTGGAATTTTTTCAAAATTGAAAATGAAAATTGAAGAAGATGCTAAGAACTCAAGATATTGGCCTCTAAATTGAATATATTCTCTAAGTCCTTTACAGGTTCTAAAAGACATATACAGCTTAAAACACCATAGAAATGATACTGGAAGAAAGAAAAATCAAATAAACAAAATTAAGCATAATCTGAAAAAAACGACAGAAAGCAAACACACTGGAGCAATATTTTTGTGGAATTTTTTCAAAATTGAAAATGAAAAAATTAGAAAAACATCAAAATTGAAAAAATGAAGCTAAGATACTGAAATTAACACAAGATTTTTTTTTTTAAAACTTTACAAGTAGGGAATAAGATATGTTCATCCAAATTCGGCCCTGTCTTCTTAGAGGACTTTTGTGTGCTTTTTGGATGCACAACTCTCTAGTCCAAACTTAGATTGCTCTAAATTTTTTTTATCTAAAATCACTAACACAGTGAAGGTTATACAAGTCAACTTTTAGGAAAAAAATTTTCGAGTCAATCCTTCCCAATATTGTTTCAAATTTAGGTTTGTAGCACTGGAAATTTTAATGAATCCTGTTTCACTAATACAAATATTCAACCAATTTAATGGCTGAATTAGCAAATGTGTTCACAAGCAAAGTTAATCCTAAGATACTCAGGAACATAATGAATGAAGAATAAGCTCAAAACAATGAGTATAGTGAAAATTATACCTATTCAAAATTCATGCACAAATTCTGGTAGGATGATTTCCATAGCTTGCAAGCAATTGAGCTCTACTTGGCATATTTGTAACCCACATCCAGAATTAATGTTGTAATGAAAAAAAATCTAGTAGCAACTTGACCAAAGAGATGATCAAATGCTCAATTAAATGTTCTAGCCACTACCAACACTAAATTGCAGAATTAACAAAAATGCATAAAATGGAAATTGAAACAAAAATCAATATGGCTAATTGCTCCCTGATAACGGTGCCAATTGATGTAACCTTAATCACTTAAGGCCATTAAATAAAACTAGAATGTAATCATGAGCATTCTAGGTCATCTCCCTAGAGAGCAATGTACACAAATTCTTAGTTCAAATGCCAACAAATTAAAAGAATATGAGAGTGATTAATTTAATGAAAAAAGTCTAACTGATATGGATCTAACTCATCTAACTCACATGAACAAACTCTAAAACATCAAGTCAATCTATGAATTCCAAAACTGAACACAACATTACAATCTCAATTCAACATCCATAATCTCAATTAAACATGAATTAGAATCATAAAAATCCCTAACCTAAATAGATTACAGATTTTGAAATTCTCAAGAAATAATAAGAAACTATGAAATTGAGAAAGCAAATGAAGAACACAAATCTGAAAAACTCAAAATGCTAAGTCATCTTTCTTGGAGCTCAATGTTGTTCAACTACTCGTGCTCCTCTCCTTCACTTGGATGAGATTTTGAGCTTGAGAAGCCTCTATGAATGTATGAATGATGAAGAAATATGAATTTGGAAGTGGCTTAAATGCTGGACGAAAAAATGTGCTGAAGGAAGAAGAAGAGATAGACGAAATTGGAATGGGGATATGATGAAGATCTGGAAAAATTGAAGCTAAGTAAGAGGAAGAAATCTGGAAAATCTGGAATGGAAGAAGATGTGTTGCTGGGAAGATGAGAGAATCTGGAAACAAATATGGCTGAAGAGTGAGAGAGGAATTTGAAATTATGAGCTCAAAAGAAATAGAAATTTAGTATGTGGAAATTATGAGAGTGGGTGATAAAACCAAAGTTAGAGGGTGATAAAATCAAAGCTCCAGATCTGAAATTGGCTAATTATCCAGCTGGAAAATGAATAATTGTGAGCAAAACAATTCTAGAAAAATGAAGAATAACAGGCGCCTAATGTAGCTCATAATGGAGCGTGGGAAAATGTGATTGAAGTGTAGAAAATGTGACTCTCTTTGACTTGTCTTCAGCTGCCACATAAGCATCTGTATATTCATGAGTCACGCGCAAGATGCTTCTCCTTTGCCTTATGATAATGCCATCGAATGCTCTCTATACTCCCCATATTTTTATTTAATTAATTAATTTATGAAAATCCATGCCAATTCGGCTTCTTTCATTCTTCATTTGTGACGCCACCTCATCCCTTCTTCTCTTGCTCTTGACTTCTTTCAAAAATGTTGACTTGCTTGTTGATTTCAAATTTGCCCTTACAAAAAATTTAAAAATAAAAGACACAAGACTAAATAAATCCTAGAAAGAGAGTTAACAAGGAAGAAAAGACAATTAAAGCCCAAGATCTCAATTAAAGGTTTGAAAGTATCAAAACAATCATCAAATAGTCACATTAGGGTTCATATAATCAATATGGAAAAGGCAACACAAAACTAAAAATAAAACCCTAATATGCATAATTTGATGTAAAAAACTAAGTGTTTTAGTATGTAAAGCATGTCATATATCAATATCGGACAACGAAATGGTGTACGTTGGTAGTTGGACTTCCAAAGCTACCATGACCACTTGTGTTATCATGACTGTGTTGTGTGCCGTGGAGTACAATGCTTGTGCCATGCTGGACAAGTCAGAACCTTGTAGAAAATTGTTGTTTTGCCTAGTTCTAATTTATTATTCCTAATTTGGTCGTTTTGCCTCTTGATTACATTTAACTTTGATTTTAAACTTATGTTGAGCTCAACTAATGCTTCGAGATGTGTTTTGGAATCCCAATTCTTTAAAAAATGATTTCTATATTTGATCAATCACATATTTTACATACTAAAAAATTTGTTTTTTTGACATTAAATTGTGCATATTAGGGTTTTATTTTTGGTTTTAAGTTGTCTTTTCTATAGTGATCATGTAAACTCTAATGTTGCTATTTAATGATTGTTCTGACACTTCTAAACTCTAATTAAATATCTTGGGCATTAATTCCCTTTTCTCCCTTTTTAATTCTCTTTTTAGGATTTTTTAGTCTTGTGTCTTTTATTTTTAAATTTTGTGAGGGAAAATTTAGAATCAACAAGCAAAGACTAAGTCAACATTTTTGGAAGAAATCAAGAGCAAGGGAGATGAGGTGATGGCGCCATTTTCAGATTTAATTGAGGAAGAAATAATTAAATAAATAGACAGGGAGCATGGGAAGCATTGGATTACATCATCATCAAGTGAAGAATGAGCGTTTTGTGCGTGACATTGAAGCTGAATTGAGGAAGCTTGGGTGGCATCTGATTAGAAGCTGAGTGAGTCAAATTTCTCATACCTTAATCACATGTTCCATGCTCCCATTTCCAACTCATTTCAGACACATTTTTAATTCAATTTCCAGCAAATTAATTTCATTTTCCAGCTAGAAATTCAAGCCATTTAGATCTGGATTTTGCATTGTTATTATCACCATCCATTTTGGTTTTATCACCTTCACATTTTTCAGACCTATAGAAGCCTTTTATTTTCATTTCAGCTTCATTAGTCATCTCTCCAGATTTTCTCTCTTCATTCCCTCTCAAAATTCGTCCATCTTCATCCCTCATTTTTCCAGATTTCATTTTCTCATCTCTTAGCTTCATCTTGTCCGGATCTGCCTTCTTCCATTCTCCTCCAGATCACGCCACTTCATCTTCTTCTTCCATCCAGATTTGCGTCCAGATCATCTCTAGCCTCAAGTCCAGAATTTCGTCCATTATTCTCCATGGTCCAGATTCAGAGTTCTTTATCCAGCTACATTCTCTTCTTCTACATTCCATTTTCATCCAGATTATTTCTTCTTTTAGCTCCAGAATTTCGTCCAACAGCACAGCCTCATTTCCAGCTTCATTTCTTCATCATCCATGGAAGCCTCTCAAGCTCAAGATCTCATCCAAGTGAAGTAGAGAACCATGAATGGCTGAACAACATTGAGCTCCAATGAAGATGACTTAGCATTTTGAGTTTTTCATATTTGTATTCCTCATTTTTTTTCCTTAATTTCATGATTTCTTCTTGTTTCTTGTGGATTTCTAAATTTGTAATCTGATTAATTGTGGATTTTGATTCCAAATTCATGTTTAGTTGAGATTATGGGTGTTGAATTTAAGTTTGATAATGTGTTTCAGCACTGGAATTCATGCACTCATTTGAGTGTTCTTAAGTTTGTTCATGTGTTCTTGCTTTTCTTGTTCTGATTTTCATTTCAGCTTGAGCTAGATCCATATGAGTTCATGTGAATTTAGTTTAGGTGGTTTTTCCACCACTAGATTTGGTCCGAATTAAGTGGTAAAGATCAAGGCTGATCACATTATTAACTTTAATTCACCCTTAAGTGAATATTGGATTCAATAACTACACTTGAAGGTTCTTTAAGTGTTCTACATTAGGTTAATTGAGATTGCTTGTGTGGATTCAAATTTGGAATTCAAGGATAATTGTTAAGGATTCTTACTTGAGCTCTCCATTACACTTATTCATATCATTACGTTCAAAACAAAAAATTACAAACATTAGTACTTCAAATTTTACTCTTTTTTTTTTTTAAATATATAGAGTAGGTTCTACCTTTGCTAAGCTATGAAGCATTAGTACTTCAGATTATCTCATGTCTCCATGTACTTGTTGATACTTCTTCAATACATATATGGAAAATATTAGAATATTAATTTTAATTTTTTAAAAAATAATTTTTGATATGTATCCGATACTTTTGAATAATGAGTCAATAATTCATAGTCGATATTTCAAGAAAATTTTTAAGAAATTAAGTTGTATTTAAGCTTGCGATATTAAACTTTTTATTATTAATAATTTTTTTATTTTCTTTTAGAGTCAAAGTTCATATTTTTCTTTTAAAAAAGTGAGTTGCAAACGGGATTCCAAAAGTGAAATGAACCAAATATAAAAGCAATTTTGAAAGATTCACAATATTTTTCAACAATTGTAAGGTGTTTCAACTTCCATTTATCCAAATGATTTCAAAATCCAACAAAAGAACTATAAGGATCCAGCAAAAATTGTCAAGGCATTTTAGTAAAAAATGTAGAGTGATTTAGTCAAAAAAAATCAAATATCTATTTCCAATGCAAAGTTGCCAAGTGGAAGCTTGAGAAGTTTTTTGGGAAATGACAATTAAGTCCCAAAGGGATTAATTAAATCCAATTAGGTCTCAAGTAATTCTAAAAGGCCAATCAAGTCCCCAAGTCCTTAAGTGGTATTTTGATATAATGGGAAATGACTGAAACACCCTTATTTCGCTAGTGAAATTTTGAAGTTGCTCATTATCTACTCTACCCTAGCAATTACTTGCAAGCAAGTAGAGGAAAGCTTTTCGTCGTCTCTTCCCTGCCCTACTGTTATCGACATACATTGACAATTGCTCTCTTCTCTGCCCTAAGCGATCACTTGCAACTGAGCAGAGGAAAGCTATTTGTTTCTTCCCTGCCCTACCGTTAGCAACATACACCAACGATTGTTCTCTTCTCCACCTTAAGCGATCACTTGCGACCAAGTAGAGGAAAGCCATTCGTCTCTTGTCTGCCCTAACAGCTAGCGACATACACCAAAGATCAAGTGAAGGACGAAAGCTATTCATCTCTTCTTTGTCTTCTCTTTGCCGTCTCTTCTCACCTTTGTTGTTTGTTTTGTGTTCAATTGGAGGTAAGTGTTCTTCCACCCTGAGTCTTCTTCCTCCTTCATTTTGTGTACTTTTGCCCCAATTATATTGCCTTTTTTGTCCATTCTGGCCGCATAATTTTTGGTGCGTTTTGCTTTGTTGCCTCCATTTCACATTTGTTTTTTTTACAAGAACTATGGCAAAATGGAAGCAAGCATAATGCATGCAACAAAAACTGTTTAGAATTTTATAGTATGAAGTTATCTTGAGTTATTTATTTAGTATTATATGTTTAGTCTTAAAGGTGTTAGTATCTTAATTTTATGGCGTTCAAAATAGTTTACTCATGGCACATTGGACAATTAAGACAAGACATTGAATTATTTTGCTCCATTTGGACACTGCTAGGACACAACTTGGAGAAAAATGTCTCCCATTTTGATGAGCTCATACAAATTCTTCCTTATGCTTTTTTGTTGTACATGAATAATTAGAATGATATAATTTAATACCTTTATATTTCATATGAGTTTTTGAGAATAAAAACAATAAGATAGGATGATGTTGGGCTTTTTAACAAAGTAGATTACTAAATATAAATTTCAAATAGGCATGCTGTGTTTTATATTTTTTGAAATAGACAAGTGACATGTCAGTGTGTTTATGTCCATATACGTGCTTCATATGTTCTATTGGATGATCTCTAGCTTGTTTTAGTTATCTAGGCTTTTACTTAATTTACTAGTGACTGGTTATATAATAAGGGCCTGAAGTAGCTGACTACTTGATTACAAAGCCCAATCAATTGTCATAATCGGCTAACAGAATCAGTGAATATGGAATTAATTTTCAAAAGAGCCCAATCTACAAAACCATGTATTATGGCTATGTTAATCTAAAATCATTGCTCTCTTTTCTTGTGACTTTCAGATCAAACCAAATCTACTGTTTTAGCAAGACAGCCATAAAAACAAAAATTCTTTGAAAAAAACATCCTAGCTATTCTTGCTTCAATATTTCCTAGAACCCCTAATCCTTAATCCCAAATTCATAGGTTCTGTTCTTGCTTCAACAAAGTAGATGAATTATTAAAATACTGAAGTATGAAGTTCCTGTATCAAAACATGCCTAGTTGGTAAAGCAGTAAAACCAATTCAAATTTCTAGATTCAGTGACAGATGCAATTTTTTGGAGTTTACAGGGAGATTTTGACTCTAATAAAGTACCTGATGTCTACATTTTCAGAAATTGGGAATTGACTGTTTACATGTTGAATTCAAATAAAGGAAGCTAAATCTTCCTATGTCCAATAAATGTGAGAACATAAAGATTTATAAGGAATATATATGTGTGTGTGTATGGAGAGATATAACACAACTTTCCAAACAAAGTTGATGAAATCAAAAATTATAAAATCAAACTACATAACGCATCACAAATTCTGAGAGCTAAGCTAACTACAAAATACATCTGTAACATTACAAACAATGATCAAAACCTTCTCAAAGTACCCCCAAAAAAATCAACTTACAAGGGATATAGGGAAATTTGCGAGGTAACAGAGGCCATGTCACCCCTTTCTGAATTTTCCATTCAACATGGTTCAGACTAGTTTAGGTATATAATTCATAGAAACAGGGCATGCTACAAATATTTCTTCCTAATCTCTTGCTATTGTAAATTGTTGCCACTTAATCCTTTATGTGTCTTTATAATTGTAAAATGGTGACAGTTAATATAATTTATAACTTTGTTAGCTGAAATTATGGGAACAAGAAAGCTGTAATGTTATGATACTATGTTGATATCTATTTTCATGTTTAGTCTAGTGATGCAAGATTCTTGTATTTGTTTTATAGTATCATTAGATAGTTTCAATAATACAATATATGTGTGATGTCTTCCAACTTTATGTAGAGTCCTTAAATATTATCACGAGGGTCAATTCTCATATACAGTGCTTCTGTTTGATTGGATTCAAAGGCTTTGAATGAACGAAGGATTGCAAGGCTTTACATTTATTCTTCATTAAAATGCTTCTACTCATTTGCTTCCAAATTGGTTGTGTGATATATACTATTTATGTTCGGAGTAAAGATTACTATACTTTGGGTTTTGTTTTAATCAAAAGTTTCTCTTCTTATTGTAATTACTTAAGCTTGTGTTTTAGATTGAAGAAGTCAACATTTGACTTAAATTTGTTGTATGAAAAGAATTGTCTAATTGTTTACAATTTGCAAGTTTTGCTTTGGCTAAGTTATAGTCATTTGATTGATTTTTTGCTCAAAGGAATTGTTTGCCATGTTATTTCAAGCATATAAATGATGCATGTTGCTAGAAAGAATGACTATTGATTTCAATCTTCAAATTCTCTTGTTGCTATAAATGCATTAGTTTTATTTCAAACTAAATATGATGATTTCTTTTTCATTATAATGTGGCTTTTAATGTTTTGAATACATGAATCCTATTATGAGCTTAAATGATTGAGTACATGAATTTTTTGAGCATGACACTAGTTATGGCCTTGAAAGTTGTGAGAGTATAAATAACTTAAAAGGATCTTTTATATAAACTATTCTTTTACTCGAAAGAATTATCTTAGGAACTATTTGCATCATGGTTATATCATAAAGTCATGAAAGTAGCATATGCCCCTAATTCCTTACATCTAAAGCTTAAAATGGGTGGCTTTATTATAGCTATGTGATGTTGAAAATTTCAAGTATTTATCCTTACATCTAAAGTTTGGGAATAGTTACTACACATGTGAATTGGATTTCAAGTTTTTAAAAAGGATTATGTGACTATGAACTTTCATGAATACAATGGTTTGAATCAAGTTTGGATGTTGATTATTTGATTACGTTCTTCATGAGAAAGACCTATAATACTATGCAAATGTAAGATTGATTCTGACTTTGATATGTCTAGCGGACAATAATTTTGTGTGTAGAAAATTTATATATACATAATGAATATATACCTTAGTGGTCTAGTAGAGCACATTACTTATTGTAAAAGGAGACCTATTGGCTGCCGAATCAAAAGAATACCTCAGCTTTTGTTTGTGGATTATTTCTTGTGTCTTGACTTTGCTTTCTTAAAAGGCATGGCCCTATTTGTTGTGCTGAGGGATTTGAAACATTATTACACATTTGAGATGGCTCTCTACCTTTACTTTAAATCTTAGGATGCCCTTTATATAGAGTAAAAAAGTAAAGGATGTAAGCAATGATTAGCTATAGTCTCTTATCCAAATATAATATTGTTATAACATGATTGTTTCCAAGATACCACTTACTAGTCTTTTTCAAAACTATGTCATCCTAACTAGTTTAGGTACATAATTCATCGAAATAGGGCATGCTATAAATATTTCAATGTCACATGATTTTACATCTTTTTATCATGTTATGGCACCAAACACATTATAACTTGACTCCTTGCCTTTTTCTTCTCTTCAAAACTTCCTTTGCCTCGCTTTCTTATAACGCAAGAAAAGAAATGATTAAAATGTATTAGTTGCAGTGGAACTGTCAAATGGTGACAGCTAATATAATTTATAGCTTTGTTAGCTGAAATTATGGACAAGAAGAAAGCTACAATGAAAAAGAAGTCTAGATATGACAAGTTCAAGCAAGAGTTTTTAAAAAATGAAGGAAAATTCAGTGGTCTTATGGAAGCCAATGATTTAATGAGAGAAAGTTAAAGAAAATTATCAAATGTTAAACAAGAAAGATACAGAAACATGACTTCACTAGATAGAGGAGGAAAAAAAATCAACATCTTATTCAATGACAACAGTATCACTCACTTGTATTTATTTTGAATTAATAAGTCTTTTTTGAATATGATTGTTATGCATTTTTATATGTATGTGGTTGAGTTGTATGACTATTGCCTAACTAGGGTAGCATGCCGAAGTCTTAGTCCTAAAAAATGGATAAGTACAGTGGTATCTCTAAAAGTTTTAATTAATTAGTTGTTTAATTGGATAGTACATTGAGTATTAGATGTGATCTTTATAGGTCATGAGTATGGTTACAAAAGTGATGGTTGGTGAGCAATTTCATGAAGGGTTGGTGCGGAAGTACATGCTTGATTCAAAATTTACGGCCACCTTAAGGGATAAAAAGTTGAGATGGGTTATTTTTTAGGATGCAAAGATGCTTATACCAGACAAACTTGGATATAACATTGCAAACTGTGATTTCCTCTTCTTGCCTATGCTTGTGTTCAATCATTGGTTTCATTATTGTGTTGATCTGAAGAATGAAAAATTTTTCTTCCTTCATTCATTAGTTGGGAAGTTATATAAAGAGAAAAAGATGATGGCTAGATTTATGGTATGATTTACTAGTGCTTTTGCATAACCACTTTAGGTTACCTAAATTTTTAGACGAGAATGGTTATCTAACATTGGGAACTGTTTGTAGAGAAATAGCATAATAGAGATGTTACAAGCATGTGACCCCTAAACATATGGAGATAATGTTTAAATGGAGATATTTGAAGAACTACCCAAACAAAGTAACGTGTAAATAACTATGGAAACAACTACCTTTTTATGCATTCACTTTAAATAGACATTTCACTTTACTTTAACTACTCATATTTGTAGAGATAACTGTGGGATATCTGTCATAAAGTACTGTGCGGAATAGGATAGTAGAAAAAGAAAAGGAGCTCAGAGAGTTGATTCTGACTGGGTGGATGTCAGATCTTCAAGTGGGTTGAGCTTCTCCTCTTTCCAGTGCGCCCTACTCCCTTAATTCTCTAACCAACCTATCCCACAAGTCCTTGCTTACATGTTCGATCAAGCAAATTGAATGGTTGCTGGAAATCATCTCCTTCTTAAGAAGAAGAAAATAGCTACTCTAGTCGCATGAAATTGCTTCCGTGAGCGTTGAAAATTGTCTCCGCCTGTCTGAAATTGCCTTATGGGTTGATCCAGTTTTTCAATTGTGTATGCAAGTAAAAGGCCCACTCATTTTTAAACAACAATCTTAAGGCCCCAAACATATTACATATAAGAACTTAGACCTTCTCTATATTCTAATAAGGCCCATTCTTTATCGTGACCTTATATTTGAGCTTGATCCATCAAAAGTGGATAACCCACAACATGATTATGATTCATAATAAAGTTTAAAAAATTATATTCTCATAATAATTTATAATATTGGTAATCATCAACAAACTAATAAACACTACTTAGATGACTTTATTAGTATCAAAGAAACACTTTACACAAAAGCTTATTGTTGTCTTCATTACTTAATTGTCTTTGCATAATGACATTCTTATCACATTAGCAAATCTAATTTGGGTGCTCATGATACTCATTGTAATATCTAACATTTAATGCATCAGAATAAAACAAAAAGGTGCTTCTATGTCATAAAGTAAGCTACAAGCGATTATACGCCTTATGAGAAGCCTTCGGTGCACATAAAGAGGAGCAAAGTTAATAATGCATGCTTTAGGAGACAAGAAATTTAATGAGAAATGAGAAAAGAGAATTTAATGCACGTTTTACAATGCAGAGAGAAGTATTCATATGCATGAGTAAGGAGAAATAAATATTATTTCAATGCAAATAATATAAGTATATATTTTACAAGGTAGGCAAATGTTTGAAAGGGACTTACATGACTATAGTGTTTTTGGTACACACAACGAGGCAAGGTCTAACCTGAATAAAATGTCTGGGAAAACTATTCGAATTAAATTTTATGAAAGTACGTGCAAAAACTTACATCAATAAGCATGATTCTCAATGAATCTAGTAAAAGATGATAGTCAACCCTATACTTGAAAAGTGTGCCAAGAAGTTAAAGTGGGCCCTACACCAAACATAAAATCATGCCACTTGTTATCACATGAGTAAAGATGATTCAAAATTCATATTTGAATTAAAGAGAAGAAAATGGGAAAAAGATTATGAAAGAAGATACCATGCAAGTCAAAATTTCCAACATGCCATTAATGAAGCTTCTTCGATAAGTATGTATGTTATAAGCCAACACACTTCCATCTTTCACCACTTGCCATTTCATCTAGCATACTCCAAGAGAGAAGAAGAAGTTTCTGCAAGTTTAAAGAGAGAAGGAGAAGAGGGAGAGGGAGAAAATGCATATCCAAGCCTAGAATCAGAGGTAAACATGGGTTTCCTTAAGTTTTCCTCCATTCTCTCTTAGTTTCCAACCTTACATATTTGATTTGCTTAGTTGTTCTTCCTCTTCTACTTATAGAAATGGGTTTAGGGGCTTGTAAATGTCAGTAATGCTTAAGTCTAAATTGCATATGGCTTTGTATGTTGAAGATCATTGTAGAAACCATAAGATTAGAAGTTTGCATCTGGGTTTTGCCTTGGGTGTTATGCTGTCTGAATTTTCAATTTTTTTTTGAATTTTATTGAAGTTCTTTGACCTTAGGAAGTATTATATAATGTTGATTCATGTGTGTATTTAAGGATGGATGTATCCAAGAGCATGTATGAGATTCAGACCCTAAGTAATCTATGAGATTTAAACACAAGTTTATCACTATCCAGATTCAAGTTTGTCTTATTGTGTGGTGGGTTTTGAAATTTGTATTTTGAATCAAACCATCATATTTGGGACATTAATAGAATACATTTTAAGCTTTAAAAAGATACATGTTTTGCCCAAATCAAAGATGTACATAATTAGTTATGAATTTTACAAGTTAAGACTAAAAATTTATAAGTGACAAGAAGACATTTTATAAAGTTGGACTTTGTATGTGATTCTGAAAACATGTGTATAATGGATTGTCCACTTTATATTTTTCTCAAATATTTGAGTTCAAGGGCTTTAAGTGAACACCAGAATCAGACTCATGATGTTTTGTGAATAAGTTATGAATTTTTAAAGTTAGGGTTTGAAATCTAGAAACTATGGGTCCATTTGGATTTCAGTTGAGTATAATTGGTTATGAAAATAATTGATTAATATGGCTAATTTTAATCATAATTGATTATGTTATAAGGTAATTTGTTTGGATACCGTTTTTCTAAAATTGATTTTAACAGAATTGAAGATATTTGGATAATTTAATCAGAATCAATTTTGGCCGTATAAATTACCATAAAGGACATTGTTTTTGAAAAATAAATTATTGATAAATTTGTATCTAATATTATTAAATTTGTTAAATTTAATTTAAGAAGTAAGATATATTATTTAAATTACATAGATGATTAATTAAAAAATTTAAATTATATTAATATTAACATTTTAATTTATAAGCCCATCCATTCCCACCTCTCCTTCCCCATCTCTCTCTCTCTCTCTCTCTAAATCTCACTTTCAAAATGGCCAAGAAAGATCAAAAAGACGATACTTGTAGAGTCAAAGCTGTTCTTCACCTTATCAAAAAACAATCACCGCTCACTCTCAAACATGTCTATTATTCAACACTGGACATATATACATATATGCTCATATATAATTAACTTCTTTGTTTGATTAATTTTGTAGGAGAAGTTCTGCAACTATGCTTGTGTAGAACAGTTTCTCAAAGCAAATAAAGATAATGTCAAGAAAGCTAGCAAGCATCTTAGGGCTTGCCTCTCTTGGAGACACATTATAGGCATCGATGTGTGTGTGTGACACACACACACACACACACACATGTATGTGTATATTCCTCTCCTCTCTCAAATTCTCTCTTTGTAGAAACTTTATTTTTAAAACAGAGCATCTAATGGTGGATGAGTTCGCAGCTAAAGTTGCTAACGGCATATGTGGCTAGTCATGATAAGAGATGGAAGACTAAAGACTAGAGAAGAGAGAGAGAGATGGGAGACAAGAGTGAGCGAGGAGAGAATTAACGTGTAATAACAGAAGGGTAATTTTGGCAAGTGCGAGAGTCTGATAAATAATTAAAACTTTAACGAAATTGAATCATAGAAGCACCCTCCTTCAGCTTGTGATAAAACACAATTTTTGCCTTAATAAGAAATTATCACCATTTGAAGCGGTTTAGGTAAATCCTATTTAAATTGATTATTTGGCTCAAATAATTGATTAATTGATGAATCCAAACAGGCAATATATTGATAAGTCTAGAACGATATAATTCTCAAGTTTATAAGTTGGCTATAGGGCACAGGGTCTCTTGGAAATTATTTTTCCATTGAATATGACTTCTCAAGGTTTAATTTGAAACCCAAACCATGCCAAATGATTTTTTAGAATTAGTTATGATTTTTCAAAGTTAATGTATAATTCTAGACTACAAATTAATCAAGCAAGAACTTGAGAATTTACAAGTCCAAAGTTAATAGGCTTTGTGTTCCATGATTGAGCCTTGACTAAGCTTGAATTTTAAGGGCACTTGCTGCCACCTAAAGCTAGTCTTGATGGGCCAAATAAGTCAGGATGAAGTTTCAATCCTTTTGAGGCCAATGATCCAATGACATAAACTTAGGAAGGTTCTATAGTAAAGTTAAGTTATGTAACCTCGTGAATAGTATCCTAGAAGGTTAGGGAAGTTGTACAAGTATGTTCACCAAGTATAGGAGATTAGTACATGACATGTGCTAATAGTGACTTGAGGTTAAAATTTATCTTTTCATGGCTTCGAAAGTTATGTAATGCATGAAAATTAATATGTATGAGTCCTATAAGAGCTCTAACAGGCCTCAATAACAAGTACTTGGCCAAGAGTATAAGGGTAAGTTTATGATTTCTCAAGCTTTATGTGTATTAAAGAATGTGTATATGTTGCTTGTGTGTTATTGGATTATGGGTTGTTAATGAATGATACCAAATCCAATCACCGCATGACAAGCTTGAAAGGCATGTAAGAGAATTTTAACGACGTTATGCGTTGAGAGAGAAGTCTTTCTTAAAGCCATGTGATTTCAAGTCAAATGCTATTTAGAGTTAAAGATATAATGTCATGTTTAATCTTATGATATAGTCAAGTGTCCATATGCCAGTATGGGTCGCCTAATTAGTCCCTAAGTTAAGTTAGGCCAGGGTAGATTAGGGAGCATTCTTTAATTAAAGTTTTATGTTGATGTTAACTCTAGTATTAAATTTTTTTGATAGGATTTGATACTTGTGACATACCCTGAGGTCAAAGGCTTAAGAGGAAGTAGCTGAGACAAGTAGCAAATTGCTATGAAACTCTTATATTTATTTCATGAGTATGTTATAAGATGATATATTTTCCATGCATGATTGTAAATGTTAAATTCATAAAATGTTGATAATGATGTTATGTTGGATTTTTTGGCCAATGTGATTTTTCTATTAGGATAGGCTGACACCCAAGAGGGAGTGAATTAGGTAACACTTAAAAACTTTTAAAAACTTGAAAGAGTGAAGAACTTAAGTGTATAGGAAGAAGATGAGACATACAAGATTTATATTGGTTCAGTCTCAAACTTGGCCTATGTCCAAGTCTCAAAGTCACACTTGAGATTTTCAATTAAGTTCACAAGTTTCAATGGGTGCTTGTCTCCATACTACAACTCTTGAGACTTAACTTGTCTTGAATTACTTAAAAACCTTGCTACAATCTAGAAAGTTATTACAAACACTTGAAAAATACTTTTATAAGATTTCTAAAGAAATAAAATAGCTTTTGCATAAAACTCTTTTAAATGGTAAATGGGATTACAATTAAAAGCTTATAAACTTATGAGAGCTTTGCACAATTCTTTTCATGAATAATCAATGAATGCAAGATGTAAAAGCATAATTTGAAAGTTTTTCAAATGCTCAAATAATGATTAGTTCGCTCAAAGATCATTAGTTCTTGTTATGGCTCAAAATGAATAACATATATAGTTTTGGTAGTTGATAGACCATTGGAGCAGTGATTCTATATGTTGGTACAATTTTTTGTAAGTGACTGGCAGAATCACGCATAAAATTACACTTAGATTGTTCCAAAAATGTATATGTGATAAATCACGCGTGAACCTCTTGACCTCTCACGCATGGTTTTGTACTTATGAATAAGCATTCAGTTTTGTGTGCTAAAACTTGTATGGTACCTCTTTGCTCTCACCCGTGGTTTTGCATTTGTGAATATGCTTACATATTATAGTGCTAAATCTTGTGAGTGAACCATTAGCTCTCACACGTGGTTTTGCACATAAGAAATCATCATCAGTTTTGTGTCATAAATCATGCTTGGAACCTCTTTCCTCTCATGTATGAAATGGCTAGCAAAATGCCAAAGCTAATTTTTGTTATCAAAACTTGCGTGATCACCTTCTGGCTTCACGCGTGAAATGGCAAGCAATAATACACAAACTTGTTTGGGAGTATTTTCACATGTGGAACTACACATGACTCAAGCAAGATTTTGTATAATCAAGAAATATAAATTTTTGAATCAATGATCATACAAGTGAATAATTTTAACTTGGCTTGAGATGACTTAAGGCTCAACAAAGAAAAATGTGATTGTGCAATAAGTGATAAATCACATGTGGCTACCATCAGACTCACGTGTCAAACAACACTTTGGCACAATATAATGAAGTATAGTTTCTAAAACTTGTGTGGACAATAATGGCTCTCACACATGATTTTGCATGCAAAAACAAAGCTTAAGGCATACATAACACAAGTGATAAATCACGCATGAATCACTTCCTGACTCTTACATGATCTAACAGTTAGTGTGCCTAACCTACAAAATCTCTTGAGTGACCTGCAGAATCACGCATGATTCTACTTCTCACACTACAAATAGCTTCTATGTATTTCAACACATAAGAAAGACATTGTTTGCAAGCTTTAATACACTTAAATGAATCTTAATGCATATAAATGAGAAATATGATGCATTCATTTAAATGATTATGAAAAGTAATTAAGCTCTCAAAGCTTTCACATTGAATCTAAGAGAATTTAAATAACTTAACCTTAACATCTTCAACGTCACTTGATTCTTCAGGCTCTTGAGGTTTTGTCTTTATCTATGATTCTTTGTATTTGTACTTATGACAAATACCTCTTCTCTTAGTTTTGTAATCATCAAAACATGTGATCCAACATTTTCATGCTATGATTATGATGTTATCTACATGGCTTTGAATGTTTGTGAAAGTATATCATGCTTTAAGTACTTGAGTTATAATTCACTTGAATCTCATCCCCTCTAACTAACCTTTCAAGCACCAATGAGGCTAATAAAGAAAATGTTGAAGTAAAAGTTGGGTGGTGATCATTCACATATTTTACATATTAAAACACTTAATTTTTGGTATCAAATTGTGCATATTAGGGTTTCATTCTCGATTTTGAGCTATCTTTTTTATGATGATCATATAAACCCTGATCTTGCTATTTGGTGTTGAATTGTCACTTCTAAATCCTAATTTGATATCTTGGGCATTATTTCTCTTCTCTTCCTTTTTAATTCTCCTTTTTAGAATTTATTTAGTCTTTGTATTTTTATTTTTAGATTTTATGAGGGCAATTTTAGAATCAAGGATCAAAGACTAGTCAACTTGCTTGGAGGAATTAAAAAGGTTGCGATTAAATAGAAGATGGAAAAATTGGGGTTGTTAGTATGATTTCCAGATTTAATTGAGGAAGAATTAATTAAATAAATATCAAGGAGCATGGGAAGCATTGAAAGACACATCATCAAGGCCAAAAAGGAGCATGAATGGCATGATTCTTGATTAGATTTTAGGGAGTTTATGTGGCAGCTGAATATGAGCCAAGGAAGAGTCACATTTTCCACACATGTTCACATGTCTCTTGTCACATTTTCCACCTCATTTTTAGCCCTATTTTAGATTTATTTCCAACCATTTTCTAGCTCATTATCTAGCCATTTCAGATATGGATTTGCCTTGTTTTTACTACCATTCATTTTGGTTTTATCACCATTCACATTTTTCACACATACTTAATCCCTTCATTTTCATTTTAGCTTCATTCATTCACTTTCTCTTCAGCTTACTTTCTCCAGATTTTCTCTCTTCCTCATCCTTTGAATTTCGTCCAGCACTTCTTGTCCACTTTCCAGATTTGATTCATCATCTTCCATCATCATCATCTCGTTCCAATCAATTCCTTCTTCACTCAGTCAGATTTTCATTCTCTTCTCTTTTTTAGCATCAACTTGTCCAACATTCAAGCATTTTTCCAGATTTCTACTTCATCTTCATTCATCATTCATGGAGGTCATTCAAGCTCAAGAACTCAATGAAGTCTTGGAGAGAAGCATGAGTGGCTGAATCTTCATTGAGCTCCAAGAAAGATGAACTTGTGATTTGAGATTTTCAATTTTGTTTCCCTCACTTGTAGTTTCAATTCTTCAATTTCTTCTACTTTCTTTGAGGATTTCAAAATTCTATACCTAGTTAGGATTATGATTTTGATTCCATTTTCTTGTTAAGTTGAAGTTGTAGATGTTGAATTGAAACTTATAATTGTGTTTCAGTTCTGGAATTTATGAATTCATTTAAATGGGTTCATATGTTCTTAGTATTCTTGTTTAGATTTCTCTTTATCTCAAGCTAGATCCATATAGGTTTATATGAATTTGGTTTAAGAAGATTTTCCACCACTTAATTGGTCTGAATTATGCGTGAATGAATAACGCTGAATCACATTATTATTCTTGATTCACTTGGCTTAAAAACTTAGGTGATCATTGGGTTTAATGATTCACTACACTTTGAAGGTTTTGAAGTGTTCTTCATTAAGCTAATTGTGATTACTTATGTGGTTTCAAATATGGAATTCAAGGATTATCACAAGGGATTTTAACTTGGGCTCATCATCTCATTCGTTCATTTCATCACATCTAAATCTAAGAATATAAACATCTACTTCTTGCACTTTAGACATTCTTATAGCTTGTTGGCAATTGGTTTAAAATTTGTATGCATTTGCTCTCTTAGGAGATGACCTAGAATGCTTCCAACTACATTCTAGTTTTTATTGATGGCCTAAAGCGACTTAAGGCTACATCAGGTGGCTTACAAGTAGATAGAAGTTTATTACTAGCTAAGTTTGTGTGTAATTAGGGAATACTTAGTCCACCTATCCTTTGAACATTAAGTTGCCATATAGGTTATGACATAAAGATATTATGATTTTTATTGATGACTATATCTCTATAAATAAATACATCACAATGTTATAGTGCATAAACGCGCACAATGAGAGAAAGAGAGTAAGAGACAATACTAAAAGTAAGAAAGAAAGAGATAAGAAAGATAAAGATGAAAATCTCACTAAGGCTCAAAGGACATGATTAAGAGTAAAAGAAGAGTATTTTTAAAAATTTATCTTGAGATAGATAATGATTGATTACCCTTGTCTATTTTGTCTAAGTATGCCATTCATCATATATATATATATATATATATATAAAGATGGGTTTTAATTAATCAAGAAACAGAAGGGTATGGTTTTAAAGAATAGTTAAGAAAAAAGTTTATTTTTAAAAAGTTCCACTATGTATGCTTTGTAAGTGCTCTTTTATTAACCTTGTATTATTTATTGGCATACTTAGATTTGCTTTTCACACTTTTTGGCCACATCTTTTCAAGTTTACAATTTGCTTATGACATTGTCAAATATTATTTTTACTCCACCGCTTAACATGAAACTCAACAATAACCATCAAGGTGGGATTTCAAGTTTTTTTTTTAAATATCAAGCAAACACATCATAAGAAATTCAGTCCTAAACAGATAAAAAAAAGGAGGATATTATGTTTTTAGACAATTTAAAAAAAGAACTCTTATGCTTGGTGCTATGCGTGTTGATCCCTGTGCCACGCGCTGTGGCTCAAGTGCCATGCACCGCAGCGTGTTGTATGAAAAATCAACAGATTCTGCTATCATTTGACAGTAGAATTGGGGAACTTCCAACGAGTCCCTATTCTCTGTCCAACGTCTAAATGAAGTGATCTAAGTGTCTACAGAAAGCTTTTTTCATGAATTAGTTAGTGGCATGGGTTTCATTTTCAAAATGAGTCACATAAGGAAGTTAGACACCCAAACAGATTTTAATCACCTTTCACAAATTTCACACAAAAAGGGTGTTCAAAAAAAGCATTTCCTAACATCTGAACCATGTCCATTAGACCTAAGACTATCAATACAACACGTCTCACGCACTAAAACACAAGTATAGCATAAATTCACTCTTCAACCCCTTTTGACAAAAATAGAGGGGGAGGCAAATGTCTATTGCATTACATTAAAAATCATTATAACATGTCTAAAACATCATTTCTACATTTGCACTAGTATTTTGGCCCTATAAACATATACATCTCAGCATACACCAATACTCAGAGCCCAAAATACAAATCAAACATTTGTAACAATAAAATAGTGCAAGTGTGATGGCGTGCAACCTAGAATTGGCAATCATATTCTATTACACAAAATAAGTAGATATAAGAGGCATACTAAAGGAATGCATAATGTAACATCCTAAGTTTCCTCATTAGTAATTATCAGTGTTTTCAAGGGTAATTTGGTCAATTTAGATAAATTGTTATTTAACGAGGTTTATGGAGACTAATATGGTTTTTGGATCCTTGGACAACCATAGAAGAGGGCTAGGTCAAGGTTCAAGCGAGCCATGGCATGAAAGAAAGTTTAAAATTTCGTGGGGCTTTCTGTGCCATGCGCCACAGCGGGCGTGTAAAATTTGCACTTATTAGATCACGAAAACAGACTAAAAACAGAAGAGATAAAGAGAGAAAATGAGAGAGTGATGGAGGAGAGTTTATGGTCTACTAGGGCACGATCTTTAGGCTACTTTGAGGGCATTTGGAGCTTGAATCACCATTGGGTAAGTTGTACATTCCCTCTTCTCCCTCTTTTATGCGAAAATCTAAACATTTGGGGTAATTGGGGCTTTGATTTCGGTTCCCTTGGATTTAGACTAAACCCATTGGTTTATTTAAGATTTTGGAAAGTTAAATCAAGCTTCTAACCTTAAGTTTAAATCAAGGTTCAAGCGAGCCATGGCATGAAAGAAAGTTTAAAATTTCGTGGGGCTTTCTGTGCCATGCGCCGCGGCGGGCGTGTAAAATTTGCACTTATTAGATCGCGAAAACAGACTAAAAACAGAAGAGATAAAGAGAGAAAATGAGAGAGTGATGGAGGAGAGTTTATGGTCTACTAGGGCACGATCTTTAGGCTACTTTGAGGGCATTTGGAGCTTGAATCACCATTGGGTAAGTTGTACATTCCCTCTTCTCCCTCTTTTATGCGAAAATCTAAACATTTGGGGTAATTGGGGCTTTGATTTCGGTTCCCTTGGATTTAGACTAAACCCATTGGTTTATTTAAGATTTTGGAAAGTTAAATCAAGCTTCTAACCTTAAGTTTATGAGTTTTGTGGTGATTGAAAATTTTTGGTAAGGGTTTGGATGAACCCTAAGTATAATTTGAGGATTTTCAGACAATGGGGGATATTGGTCAGTGAATTTGGTGTGTTGGAATGTTTAATAGGATGGTTGGAGTTTTTGAGAATGGTTAATGTTGTTAGAAAAGGAATTTGGGTATTTTAAACATTTAGAACCTAGTGAATTTGGGGTTATCCAGAGTGGTAATTGACGATGGTCACTTATTAGTGTAGATTGAACGTTGCTCGAGCCTTATTGTGGATATAGAACATGTGGAGCTAACGTTGAGTCACGGTAACCCTTTTTGTGTGACAAAGGGTTGAGGTAACCATATAGTTTATTGTGTTTATTAACTATTGTAACTGTGTAGAAGTAATTTTAAATGATAACGTTGTGGTTTTGAAGAGTTTTGTGCATAATTTGACATTGTAAATGATTTTACCATGAAAAAGTGTTTTGTAAATGGTTATTGTTTCTAATTGAAATATATATACTATGTATATAAGTGTGATGTGAAAATGTGATGAAAAGTAGTGGAAATTGTGAAAGAGCATGATCATAGGGGGTAGGAGTTCACCTGAGATATGTGGATATATGTGTGTGTGGAGATATGTGAGTGAAAAATTTATATGGTCGGGCTTACACCATGGGACATCCAGTGCAGCATTTTATGTGACTATTACTATGGGACATCCGGGCAGTCTGGCAACTCCCTCGTACCTGTTAGGGTGCGGTTAGGAATCAACAACGCTTTTATCACAAGTGTGTGAAGAGGGAAAAACCATAGTTCGTAGGTAGGTTAGATTATCTTTGGCCAGGTATTTCTACCACCGAAATTGCGCTCGGGTTAATAAGTGGTTGAATCAAGAGAGCCTATGGTTTCATGTTGGGGAGCATTGGAGGTTTGGTGGTTAGATGATCATGCTAGTGTAAAACCATGTGTTTTGTTGAGAAAAGATACACTTGTCTCGTAATTATGATATGCTTGTTGTTACTATGGTTTTGATACTTTTTTATGGTTATTTGTGGTAATAAACATTTGATGAGCAATATTGGTTACTGAGATGTTTATCTCACCCCATGATTATATTGTACAGGTGAGGGCTTTGTAGGGGCAAGGGGAAGGAAGGAGCATTTGAAGAGTGAAGAGCATCATTGTATAGCTCTTCCCCTTCTCCCTTTTTGGTTTTGTAACGAATATTGTCACTATATATTGCTAACTTAGGAACATGACATTATTTGGATATTACTTGTGTGAATCTTGTGATAAGTGTGTATATCTTGGTCCAAGTTTGATGTATTAGATTAACCGTGTGCTTGGCCAAGTTATATTTTTTTCAAGTGATAAATATATTTCAAGTGTTTTGAGTATCAAAATGATCAATTGATTTATATGTTGAATTTTGTCCATACTATTGTGTTATTGTATGTTATGATTGAACTGTTACATAGTGTATGGTCCATTTGAGGTGGTCAAGTTCTCTCCAAGGCTAATGGCATTGTGTATTGTGAGTTGGATACCATAGTATGTGTTTTGTTGTGAAAATAAACCATTTTGGATTCGGGTGTCTATCTTTTAAAAGAATGATTGTTTGAGTATGAGACCAGTGCCATTAGCTAGAGGGCTCAAAGAGCTTCATGTGAACACTTGAATCACTCAAATTGGATGTCGGATGGCGAAACAGCGCGCTCTAGAAGTTTGGAGAAAAGTCATGACAGTAGGTGCACGCCGCAGCACATGATTGTTGCGCCACGGCACAAGAGGCCCTCGAGGGATTCGTCCCTTTGTGCCATTAACCACGGTAGGCGCGGCCTGCGCCGTGGCGGACAGACCAGATTAGGGCTAGAAGGCTTATTTTAGTCTGTTTCGAAGTGAATTAATTTTCATGCTTCTGTATTTGCTTTTAATTGATTTTTAACCATGGTTTGAGCTCAAACTACATTTTAAAAAGGGTTTTCTTAGGATCCCAATGTTTTAACTAATTATCTTTAAACTCTTGAGTTGTGGTAACTCTTTTAAAGGATTTTATCTAATTCTAGTTATCACAACGATTGTGTGAGTGTTGTCCTTGTAATGTCAAGGAAAACATTACATATAAATTCCTAGGCCTCAATAGCTTTGTCCGTCTCAGCACCAGAGCTAGAGCCTGAAAAGTGTTAAAGAAGAGGGGTGAGTCTAGCCACTCAATAACTAAGATAAAACCTACCCTATACAGTTATATATCAATTGTAAACCAAGCACATGCATATGAAACCAAATACTTAAACATACTCACACACATCATAACTCATCATTTCTCATTAATAACAACTTTGTCTTACATATACTAGGTACATTATCACCATATTCTTATATATGTGACTATGACCCCTTATTCACGTGACTTGCCATAACTCAACACATGTGACACGTCATATATTTATATAGGTAATGATCAACCAACCTTATATCCGTCTTATTTTCTCAGATTAAAACTGGGGGCTATAACACTGATTAGGGCTCTGTTCGTGTGATTGGACTACCCAAGCTCACCAATCGTGAGGTGTGACTTGACCAAAAATCACATGACTCACTCTCAAACCATGGCTTCCCCTCATTCTCGAATTTCTAAGGTGTCTCATACCCTAGGCTATTCTCCTCATTAAACTAGTGGAGAAAACTAGGTTCTAGTCCCTCGACAAACTATGGGACAGTCCCTCGATAAATTGTGGGACAAGGCTATACCCCCGTGCACTGGAGGGCGGTCTAAATATCATATGGATTTTTCTCTACTCCCAATCCCTAGGCGAACTCACACCCACTGATCATGCCATATATGATACTCAATCATTTTCACGTTTTCATTTTCATTTACTCATTATCACAATAATCACATTGGGCTCATGACCATGCACTACCTAAGTATGCATTCTCATCATTTTCTCAACATTATTCTCACTTATCTCAAAAATCCATTTATCATTAACACACATTTATCTCAACACAACATCACATTCATTTTTCCCAAATACTTATGCATATTCAAAGTTCAAAAACATCTTGATTTCACATCTGCATTTCAAACCAAAAATAACACTATGCACATTCAATTTTCATACTCGTATTGAAACTAATGCATGCTTTCACATTGAAAATCGATCCATGCATGCAACATTCACAATTTAACAATCAATTAACATATAACTACCTAAGATAGGGTTCCCTCAATTATCTCAAACTTTTCTGAGGTCAAAGATTTACCCTTCAGTATAAGAGCTTGCAATCTTGAATTCCCAATCAAATAGGTGACTAAGAGCCAAAACTATAATAGACTAAGTTGAATTTCATCAATATTACCAACTCAAGCGTTAAACCCTCAATCTTCACTTCTAAATTGCCCAATATTTACTCCACAAGGGTTTGAGCCTATCCCTTGGGTTTATTAATTACTTTTAGTCCCCAATAATATTAATGAACCATTAAATTCCTATTAATGGCATCACAATCTTCCAACCACATATAATAAATGAAATTTTCAGATATTAATGGTGTACAGCAACCCAAGACACCAAAATTTATTATACTTAGTTTTAAATACTCCAATCTACTTCCATTAACTCCATTTGAGTTAATAAATTCAAACCCATAACTCATATGGACCAAAAATCCACTTCCACTATCAAACCCTAATTATAAACTCATAAATGTGAAAAAAATTGGGAGATTAATGAATGTGGTACTTACCTTGAGTGTTTGTAGCCTCCAAAATACTCCCAATGTCATCCACAAGTAAACCCTAGTAGAGCTTGGTGCATCTCTCCATTTCTTCCTTTCTCTTCTCTCTTTTTTTGTCTCATTTTTGTGACTAATAACTACAGAATTTGCATTGTGCACTGTGACGCATGTTCCCATGCGCTGTAGCATGTGGTACAGAGAAGGTAGCTCTCTTTTTGTGGCCCTGTGCACCGCGGCGCATCGCGCACGTGCCGCGGCATATGGCATAGAGGCTTTTTAGCTTGTTTTTCTTCATTTTTTGGTCCCTAAGTGACCCAATTTCACTTTGAACCTAAATTATACCTAAAATTCCAACTAAAAAACACTTATTATTCTCCTTGACCACACGCCACGTCAACTTACTTAATTATCTTAATGAAACTGAAATTAGGGAATTAAAAACTGGGATGTTAGACAAGACATCTTGAAGGAGTGATTGTCTTTGTAAAAAGCTTGATATGTGGTGGAGAGTTCTTTCATGTGAGGTGTTGTACTCATATCTTAAATATTATAGTCCAAGAGGGCTTGAAAGTTACTAGCATCCTAGTGCAAAAAATAAGGGAGAGTATTAAATATATAAAAGCATCAGAGGCTAGGACGATTGCTTTCAAACAATGTGTTGAGCAAGTAGGAGGTGTTGACACCTTAATGGGTTTACGCTTAGATGTTCCCACTAGATGGAATTTTACTTATGCAAAATACTTGAAAGTGGGATTAAATATCGCCAGGCTTTTATTAGCTTGTCCTTGCTAGATACAAATTTCAAGTTTTGCCCATCAAATGAAGAGTGGAAGAGAGTAGAGGAAATGTGTCCATTCTTGGAGCCATTTGATGTGATAACATCTTTAATTTCTGGGTCATCTTATCCAACTTCTAATATGTATTTTTTACAAATATCAAAAATTAAATGTTATTGAAAGAAAAAATGTTCAGTGATGATCTAATAATTCAAGATATGGCTGTGAGAACAAAGGAGAAGTTTGATAGATATTAGCAAGATTATAATATGATCCTTGCTATTGCTTGTGTTCTTGATCCACGCTTGAAGCTTGTTTTCATACAATTTAAATACTCTATGCTTGATGTTGAGACTTCCAATGCCAAAACTGAAACTATCAAAAGGAAGTTGTACTTAATTTTTTATCAATATAGCAATGGTACGAATGTGGGTTAATCATCATCTAGAAATTCAACTTCAACATCCATAACATCAACTCAACTCCCTATTCATGAAATGACCATGAGTTCATTATCATCATCAACATCAACATTGACTTGGAATAAGGCTCTTGGTGTAAGCTTTATTTATTTCTTTTTTATATATTTATCATCTTATTTTATTGATTTTTATGATTACTTTGAATTGGATATTTAGAATCTTGAATTTAAATGCAGGATTTTATTGATCTTGTGAGCAAGGATAGTAGTTTAGTTGGAAAATCTGAATTGGATATTTATTTGGAAGAGGCCAAAGTTGATGCTCAAGCATTTCCAAAGTTGGATGTTCTAGGCTATTGGAAGAGTAATGAATATCGATTTCTTCATCTTTCAAGAATGGCATGTGATATATTAAGCATTCCTATTACTACAATCGCTAGTGAATCAACATTTAATATTGGCTCTCATGTTTTGACAAAGTATAGATCTTGTCTTCTTCCAAAAAATGTTGAGGCTCTCATTTGCTCTCTCATTTAGTTACTTGGTTTCAAAATAGATGACAATGGTATAATACTAATATCTTTCTTACTTGTGTTATGTATAAAGTATTTCTTGAATAAACTCAATCAATACTGCATTTCCTATTTTTTGATGCAGATGATGAAGATGGTGAGGAAGAATCAACAAACGATATTATTTATGGTCAATGATTAATATCTAATGATATGAAGTTTAATAGATGAAATGGAAGATTGTGATCAGGGTTTTGTAGATTCATTTTGTGTGATATGGTGATATGGTAGAATAGATCTAGGTCATAGGTTCATGACTTTGATAATTTAATTTTTGACAGGCATGGCTTGGCTTAGATCAATTCATATATTTTGTTATTTTGTACTAATATTATGGGTTAATACTTAATATTTTGCATTTTGGTGTATCTAGAGACTAGAACTACTAAACTAGAATGAATCATGAAGGTGAAAGAACATCACAATGAAGTTGGAACTCGTCATTTTTCATTTAGCTATAATTTATGTTTTAAATTTATAAAAAAAAATAAATGGGTTGGCCTCATTTAACCTACCAACCCTTAAGGGTTGGGTTTGTTTGAAATTTTTTCAACCCATATAAAAATGGGTTGGATCAAACCTAACTCATTTTTTTCAACTCATATGGACCAACTTATATGGTGTGGGTTGGCTTGTATTACCAACACTAAATAAAAATAGAATTAATCCTCATTTGATCTCTCGAGTATTTAGCTATTAAGAATTCTTTGAAGCGAAATTATTGCATATACCAAATATATCACATCATTTATGATCTATTCAATAAAAACTTGCCATATTAGCACTAGGTCCGTAATAGCATTTCTCTTCTCGGTCTGTCTGTTCCAAATAGATTTATCTTTCTCTTTATTTTCTTCATCTGATGGGACACTTACAAGGGACTCAATTGAGACTTAAACGGGACTTGAATGTCATTTTTCCTTTAACAAATGAGCTAACCTAACCCAACCCATTTTATCAGGCCAGGTCTCCATTTGCAAATCTGACTAACCCCTTGTGTCTTTTGATAATAGCCCAAATGCAATTCAACACTGAACCAATGCGTGCCAGATTTTTGAGAAAATGAATATTCCATAAAACGGAAATTGTATTTATGTATGATTTCTTATATATTTGTCCTACAACACTACATGAACTTTACTCTCACAGTTTCATTTACATTTTGGGCATATACTCATGCCCGACATCTCCTCTCATAGCTTGATGTCTTTTTGATATAGAGAATTAAAATTAGCGACAGTGACCAAAAGCAAAAACAAGTTGGCGAACCCAGACTTGATCTCTTGACGACACCGACAATCAGCAGTATCTTGGACGGTGGGTGTCATATCCTTGAGGAAAATTTCCACGTGGGGGCCTTGAAGTTGGTGCTTCATATGATGAGAGTGAACCTGCTATGCAGAAGAAACAGATGACCGACTACACCAACATTAAAAAAAATTTATACATATATAACGTGAAGAAAGCTGCAGAAAAGCAGAAGCAAGCTCAAGTACCATGATTATAAAATGCTGGGGCGGATGTTGTGGATGAGAACAGATCAGGCCGAGGACCTCCAATGTTACCATGAATAGAACTGGGAAAGCCCATGTTCCCTTCTATGTTCGGCTTGCCGTACCGGTCACCAACACCTGAGTAGGAGAGAGCCTCAAAATCACCGGTATGAATGGCACCATAAGTTCCATGGTAACCACTGTTATCTCTAATTTCATAATTAGAGTAAGGCCCAAAGGGAGAAGCTGCTCGCGGCAGATGCAGTATTTCTCTGCTCGGATATGCACCAGAAAATGAATTTGACATCCCACTTACTTCAAGTCCCCTATATTGACTTGCTTCGTTTATCTATAAACATACATGTCAACTAGGTATCAGAATTGTAAGAGTTTAACAGACTAAGCTCAATTCCATAAAAGCATCTCAGACTCCTTGCCCGATATATCTACTTCTTCTAACTCGCTTACCAGAATCAAGGTATGTTTGTTGGAGCAATAAAATTTCCTTAAAATAAAATTCCATTTTTGCCCCCCAAACACTATCATTTTACACGCACACAAAAAACTCACTAGCGTATCATATATACATTGGAACTATGAATTTTTTAATAAATTTTACTCAAAAGAAATCCCAAATTGTCTTATAATAGAAACTACAGTTTCTTACAGAATCAATGAATAACCAGATGCCAGCACATTTATCACTTTTCTACTTTGAGTTTACCGCCTGATGGGCACACAGTTATAAACAATAGCAAACAGATTCAACTTACTTGATCGGCCATCCTGTAGATGGATGAAGAGTTAGGAGCATAAGAGTTTCGGCAATAAGTACCACCGCCTGAACCAACATTCACCATGTCAGGATCATCATCGTCATCGGTCTTTAAAAAAGGCACACCATTTCAGGACAAAAATAGCATTAAAACACAAATCAACACCTCCAAAACTTCCTGGATTTTGCAAAGGTGATTCAATATAAGACTGAGAAGAACCTCGACAAGGTAAAGCTGATGACTTGTTGCTAGGCGTAGATGCGACATCCTGCTTCATCTGATCCAAATATTTCTGAGACTCTTCTCGGTTCAGCTCTACAAATATAACCTTTAAAAAACAGACTAAGCATTAATAGTGTCAAAATTCACAACAATAGCACAAACACAAAAGTTCCTACCAAAATACCTGATCAAAAAATTCATCTGTAGCAGGCATATCCTTGCTCTTAGGCAGAATAAAATTTCCTGCCACAGCCAAGAAAAGATTGCATATCTAAGTAAAATGAAGAACTTAATCTTGGAAGATAACATGGAAAGGAAAATCATTAAAGATTAAATATACCTATCATGTTATTTACAGCATCAGGTGGTACTTCCTTCCCCATTTCATTAAATCTTTTATTAGCACGTAGCCTTAGTTCTTCTGGCTCAGGGAATATAACAACAGCAATCTGGAATGGCCAAAATATTATATGATGGAAACAGATTCCAGAACTGATGTTTAAATAGAGAAAAAAATACAAAGAGAGCAAGTCTAATGGATTACTACAGACAATAATGAAAATGAAAGAAAACTTATACGGGCAGACAAACACAGATATATAAAAGGACCTCTAGCATTCAAGAGGCTATAGTGTTCTATATTCCTTGCCGATGGCCAAACCTTCACTCACTCACACTCACATTCCACACCTCACAAGCCATGTGACCAAGTCTTGGAGGTTAATTATGGGTCCATCATTATATTACCATCCACAAAGGAAAAAGATATCTATTATCTCCAACAGGGAGTTGTTACCTTTGAAAAGTCAGCAAATGGCTTAAGCTTACGCTTCCGTGCACTCTTGAACACATTTGTCTGGTCAATAATGTAATTACGAGGTATCTTAGCTGCCCTTGACATCAAGGTATTAAATATTCCAGTTGCTCTATCCATCAACCGATCAAACCTTTCACCATAGTTATTCTTTCGCAGTAGTCCAGGTACCTGAACAAGAATGAATTGCCATCATTTCATAAGCAAAAAGTAGAGACAAGAAACACTTACATTAACAGGGCCAGCTCAGTAAGCAATTAAATACCTTCATCTGATCAAGAACTAAATTTGTCCCAAGTAAAACATAACGCTTTTCTGGATGCTCTCTTATCCATCTTTCTGCCCATGTAGTTTTTCCTGAAGCAGGTAATCCAACCATCATTATCACTTCACAATCCCTAACATCAGAAAATGAAGGTCCAATAACCATATCTCTTTCCTCAATAGCATAAGCCCAAGGCTTAAACCCCTCTTCCAGCACAAGGCCATCTTCAACACTAAACTGCATTTGTACCACAACATTTTTTAACAGGACATGTGGAAAGAGTGCTGATTCCCCTGGCAATGCCTTCTGAGGAGAATCCACTACTTCTAGACCCAAAGGACCAGCATCAAATCGGAATGCTGTACCCAACCATTTACCATTCTTGGAGAAACTGATGGAAGCCAATGGTCTACTTTCAAGATCAATACAACAAACTATTGTATCACCAATACCAAACTTCCCACCATAATCTGAAAATTTCCCTGAATTTGAAAACTTGCCAGTGCCACCATATCCAAAGCTGTTTCTGGATTCTCCAAGGTTTCCTACCATATCATCCCCTCTAGAAATCCCAAGTCGACAAACATGCTGTAGATCAGTGGCAGTGTCCTCCATGTCAACTGGCTGTGCTGAAACAACTTTGCAACCAAAACAATATTTTCCCCCAGTTATTCCAATGTTAGCCCGGGCACCAGACCAGCAATATGCAAACCCTTGCTCATGAAGGGCAGATCCAAGAAGTCCATTGCCTCCAATTGTAAAATCTAGCAACACGCCAATTTTTAGCATCATAATCAGCATGATATTAGAATTTTCATTTGCTTCTCAACGCTAAAAAGACAGATGAATTTGCAACATAGCACTCATGCAAAAGCCGTTTAGTTACACAAGCATGGAAGAGATATTTAAAGCCATTCTAAGCTGTCCTAAAAAAAAAGGAGAAGAAAGATGTTGTTTATGGTCAATGCAAGTTTCTTGAGATATTTAAAGCCATTTTCAGTTTCTATAAATCATACAAGTTGGCAATGATTTAAAATTCACTGTTCAAAACCAGCCTCTCAATCCACAATTTGTGATATAAATACTGCGGTCTTTTCATTCTAATAGTAAGCCCTTTTTTAACAAGTTGTCAAATTGTGTAATAGAGAACAAAGAAAAAGTATACTCCTAAAAGGAAAACCAACAAAAAATTGAAAAAAACAAGACAGAATTAGCAGAAGGAAATAGCTAAATATCATATTTAAATCAAAATCTCGTTAAGGATGAACAAGCAGAATAGCCATCAGCATTAGAGTCTATCTTACTGCACAGCCAACGGACAAATTCTCCTTTTTGATTTTAGCCTAGCTTTTTTCCAAGTAAATGGACCAACATTTGACAGAACCTATGAAACCCTCTGCACCTTACACGGAAGAAGTTAAATGGTATCTACAAAGATTGAAGACTTTTACAAGCAATATACTTATACATGCAGCAAAATAGCAAATACATTTCGCAAGTACAATAGCAAATTCAAGATGCAATAACAGTTGGGTATCTTTTTTGGCCATGAATAACAGTTGGGTATCGACTGCACAATATTAGAAAAAAATGGGTTTAGGACTAACGGCAAACAGGAAAAGCTTTTTATCCAAGATCAATCACTATAGGTCTAAAGATCGTTATCTTGACATATACTTATTCTTTTAAATCTAAATCAATATTGTACAGGAAGTATTCACCAAGAAATCCCCATCCATCGTCTAATTCAATGAAAAAATTTTAAACGCCAAGGTTTTATGGACAAAGAAGTCAATTTGGCATATTCCCAGTACACTTAGAGATTAGTTTACTTCTCCCCTAATAATCTTTGAGACTTTGAACTGGTTTCCTATGTTTTTTATCATGACCCAGAAATCTTCAAACAAAGTTTCTAATGCACTAAGAAAACATTCAATGCAGATGCAAGAAATCCAGTACAAGTATCTTTTTTATTTTTTTGAGTAAACCAGTACAAGTATCATTCACAGACCAGTAGCACCAACAGGCCATCAATAGCATGAGGATAAAGAAAGGAAATACCTAAGTCACAATCCGCAGGATTGAGAACGATGCGCTGAGGCATTTCCGGATTAGCAGGAGGAACGGGTGCATCACGTTCAGACCTTATCTTCTTTGCGTCTCGCATCGCTTCCTTGGGAAGATGTCGTTTTGTGGAAGCCATTGTCGGAAGAAATAAGAGTCGCCGAGAGAGAGGCCACCTAGAAACTAGACCGAAGATTGTCTAATCCTATTTATACTAAACGGAGATAATTCGTTTTCGCTTTGAAAAATCGATGTCCTGCGACCAAGCTAGGGATCATCAGCGGGGATAGACTCTAGATATTATTGTTAACGGCTTGGGATGAATGGTTTAATAAAATATTTTCCCAGTGAACCTTCTAATACAATTTAACTATGATTTTCTATCATTAATACTTGAAGCATTGCATCACACGCTTTTCTCGCCATCCTCCTTTCCTTCCCATTCTCTTCCCTTCTTTTTTATTCAAATTTGATTTCCTAAAATGCTAAATTATAAAAAATATAAATAATAAAATTCAAACAACTAAAATTTAATATTAACAATTAAAAAATAAAAATAAAATAAAATATTTCATAAGATATCAAATTTGGATGATTCAATAATATTATTCTAAGTTATAAATTAGAAAGAGGATGGGAATTGATTATAAATAAACCTTTTTAAAGCCTCTAAACACATCCAATCTCATATCTGAAGGTTAAGAGTCATATTGCGAAGTTTGGAGAAGTCTTTCTAATTGGGAGCTTTCTCTTTTCTTTTCTTCTTTATATTATGTTTATGTCTTTTATTTGGAATTGTAGTTTTGAATTTATGAGTTCTTGCTAAACTCCCGATCAAGGTAAAGAGTAATCTGGTTGGAACGGATTTTGTTCTTTATTTAGTTTTAGTTATTTTCCCGTTGAACAATGATTTTTGATTATGAGAATTTATGTTTGTTTTTATATTTATCTCCCTCATTTTAATTACTTTTTATATAGATGGCCACTATATAAATTGTTTGTAGGTAATTTAATGAACTGAAAGGTAAAAAACTTACCTAGATCTAAAATAGGTAGATAAATGCAAGTAACTAAAATAGAAATAATTTAAGAGTTTGTGGTGGCTTAGATCATAGTTTTATGGATTAGGTAGAGAGTAAAATTTATTTAGAGTTAAATTTAACTCTAATTAAATATGTCCTAATATACTGAAAGATAATTAATTAAATTAGAATAATCCATCCTAGTAGGTGAATCCCCTTGGAACTTGTTTGATTGGTTAGTTAATCACTTTTATCGATTTTCTTATCTATTTGCTTTATTTAAGTATTAAATATTTTTTTGAAAATCCTTATTTGTTTTCTTTAATAACAAAAATCACTATCATCCTCTAGGTTCGACCCAAAATGCTCTGAATATATTATTATATTGATTTCATGCACTTGCGAGGCCGATCAAGTTTTTGGTGTTGCTGTCGAGGAAGACATGTAACTTTATTATTTCTTTTTTATTGTTTTCTACTTTTAATTTTTTATGTTTTCCCTTGGCATTCTTATACAAACTAGACACTCTAAGAAATCCTCTAAAGCTGAATTGACTAATGCTAATAAAAAAAATTGAACAATTGTGTAAGACTAATATGAAAAAGAAGAGGCAAGAGAAACATCAAGAGGAACTTGAGCAAGCAAACTTTTGGAGTCTCTAGAAAAAATTTCTGACACTGAGATACTAATGGAGGGTCACACACTAGTTATTGCACCTCAATGGAGGGACATTGTTGTTCTTCATATAGTTGCTGGCCTTTCAACCATTCAATTGAGTAACTAAAGCAAGAAAACTATGAACTAAAGACTCATCATCTAAACAACCTTCCATCATTCTATGGTAGGCCATCTAAAGATGCTCTAGCTTTCATCAAAAAGTTCTTCCATGCCATATCTATGCTCCTTCCAACAAGCTAGATGACGATGAACTTACACGCTGCTTTGCTCACTACCCTCATGATCACGCTAGTAAGTGGCTTTTGAACTTGCCTAAAGGAACCCTTACTGCATGGGAGTAAGTATACAAAATATTTATGTCTAAGTTCTACTCGCCACATTGTACTGAAGAACTTCGCAACAAGATCTTCAATCTCTCCCAATCACCAAGGAAGCCATTCCATAAAGCCTAGGAAAGATATAATACCTTATTAAAGCAGTGTCCACACTATGGCTTCACCCATTTAATGATCATTAACAAATTTTATAAGGGGTTGATGATGGCTTACCAAAATCTATGGACATAGCTGTTGATGGCTATGGAGGAGAGAGAATGGCAAATTAAATGATGCTTATCTATGAATGCCTTACTAGAAACTCACATTAGAAAGGTGATAGTGGGAGGAAGGCCAAGCCCATCAAGTAGAATCTAACTCTATTATTGCTATTGGAGGTCCTTAACAGGAATCTTTGAAACTTAATTTCTAATATTATTACTCTTAATAATTCTGTTCTTATTAATTCTGCTAATATATCTCATGGCTCCTTTTAGAATAATTATGGTAGCCAAGTCCCAAAAGCTCACACTATATGGATGCCAATCAAAACCAAAGAAGGAGTCAAGGAAAGACCTACAATTTTTTTGGCAACTCATATAATGAGGGTTCAAAGGACCACCCAAACTTTCAATAGAGGACTGGAGAAGGCACAAAGCCATTGAACTTTGAACAATCTTTGACTCCACTGTAACAACCCTCTAACATTAATGAAAAGTTTAACAAATTAAAGGGTATGATCTCCTAGCTATACACAACTCAAATGACTGCATAGTCAACCACTAAAGCTGCATTTAAAAATATAGAGGCACAACATCAAGCCACTATTAGAAGTCTGGAGACATAACACCAAGCTGCCATCAGAAACTTGGAGACCCAGATGAACCAATGAGCTAACATACTATCTGAACATCCACAAAGTCAACTACCAAGTAATACTAAAGTCAACCCTAGGCAAGGGATTATGGCCATTACATTGAGGAGTAGTAAACAATTAAAGGTCCTGGTTCCTCCACAATAAACCATAAGGGAGGACCCACTATAAGGAAAGGAGGCTAGCTCACCTATAAAGGTAAATGATCATAAAGAGAACACCATGCCCTCTAATGTGAAGCTTTTTGTGCCTCCTATTTCTTTCCCTCAAGTCCTCAAGAAATGAAAGCATGATGCGAATTTCATAACATTCTGAATTTCAATCTAAGAAAACTAGTTGCTAATCAAGGGTAAATTAGTAATCAGTGGATTGATTATGTTTTAAAAAGGGGATTAGTGTATGGTGCTAATTGGTTAGTGTGGTTACAGGATTGGATGATAGAATTGCGAATCAAAACATAATGCACGAGCACTAGTAAGATTTATTTCATTGTGCTATGCACCATGACATGTGTTATATACACTGCAGCGTATGGCACAGAATTTACTTGAAGCTAACATGCATTAGCTCGTGGATTAGAAGGAAGAGGAAGGAAATAGATACGTATGAGGGAGAAAGAAGAGCTCCTCTGTTAGGTCATCGATTTCAAGAGTTAGGGAGTTTACTCTGAACAGTAACTTACTGAGTAAATTTTATACTGCCCTACACTACATTTCTACCTTAATTTCTCTAAGTTTGGTTGTAGAAAAATTGAATTAGAAAGTTTTAAAGAGTTAAAATCTGAAAGGGAAGGTTTTAAAAGGGGTCTCGGGTGTGAAACTAAAGTTTTGCTACTAATTTGAAGTTTAATGGTTGAAGTTTAAAGATATAGGTTCAATTTAACTTGAATGGTGAGGCTGTTAAGGATAAAAATTGTTAATTAAGTGAGTTAAGGGGTGCTTTAGTCATTTGAATAGCTTAAGGGTAAATGACTATAAAGAATAGATTATCTGAACTTAGGAAATATTAATTGAAGTGTTTCATGTGCTAAAGGATTTGGCTTAGCCAAACTAATACCCTATGCCGAGTGCTAAAAATTGATTAAGGGATATTCTTTATATAGATTGAGCATTTGAGAAGTTGCTCTTGAGAATTTTCACCTTGGGAGTTCAATGCGAGAACAGTAACCCTAGGTAGTAAGGGTAAAAGGCAACTGAAGTAACCCTTTTATTTGTTAGTTTGTGAAACTATTTATAGGTATTCTATATAGTTGTATGCATTGTGTTTTTTTGAACTAATAAGGTAGCAGTATTGCAAAAGAAATATGCATGCCGGTGTATGAGTAATGTTTGATATGTATGTAAAGAGGCATGTACAGTTTGCATCTATGAGTGTACCCTAAACTAGGGTAGGGGGTTGCGGCCCTACTCTGTGCAAGGTTAGGAGGTCTTGAAGGTCTTGAGCATAGAGCTTGCTCTGCTAAGAAGGATTTAAGAGTATTATCCAAGAGCATACTCTAGACTAGGGTAGGGAGTCATGGCCCTACTCTGTGTAAGGCTAGAAAGTCATGACAGTCTAAACATTGAGTATGCTTCGCTAGTGGGGACTTAAGAGACCACCCATACTTATGATACCTAGCTTGATATAGTGGTTTGGTAGGCCTTGTTTCATGTAAGGTTAGAAGTCTCAGTTCGAGTATTGAGCTTGTTCTACTAATGGGAACCAGGGTTGTATGAGCATAGTGGACTAGTTGAGTATGATTTCATGTATATGTTATCCATATTGTTTTATAGAAAGTGAGGCCACTTTATTGATTGTTTATAATTTCACTTACTAACTAGTATTTGGGGTTTATCTAAGTTACTAGGACATATATCTCACTCCGTTACCTTTGCATACAAGTGAAGAGAGTGCGAGAAGGCTAGGAAAGGAAGCGAGAAAGGATTAGCTTCTTTTCGATAGTGGTATGACCACTCTAGTATAATGCATGTATAAAAATGTTGTTAAATGTTTGAGTTTCCAACTAGGATGTATATATGTATGTATGCATGTATATTTGGTGATGTTTGAGAACTTATTTGTATACCTTATATTGCATCTCGCCAAGTGTATCATAATGGTAAATATGAGGGTAGCCCTAGATGCTATCCAGATAAGTTTATATTATATTATATAACTTGTTCCATAGATGTGTGTGTGTGTGTGTGTGAAGTTATTGTGTGAAATGTGTATTTATGTGAAACTTGACTAAATTGTGAGGCTTAACCCCATTTGTGTGTAAGTCAAGTATATTTGCGATTCCTAGCTGAGGGTTAGTCCCATTTGTGAAAGTCAGAGGTGTGAAAGTGGAACAAGTGTGGATGAATGCACGTGATACCTTATATAAGACCACAAGCGTATAATGTGGCATTGAAAAGTCAAATTGTGTATTTGATGTGATATATATGCTAATTAGGTGTATAAGATCCTTT